CTCGCCTGCTTTGCTCTTGGCCTGTGCAAGGTTTGCTGGATGCATCATGAGAGTAAGGACACGGATCTCTGGGTCCAAACGGCTGGTGTAATGGAACACTTTCTCTTCTTCACTCATGTTCAACGTGTGCTCCTTTTCTCCATATCGAGAGTTGAAGTTGGCAATGGGTGATCCATTCTGATGTAAGTGCTCCAACTCTGTTCTCAACATTATGTTCTTGCTAGCAATGTCGAATCTTGTGTTCATGGCTTCCAACAAAGTTTGTACTGTGACAGGTCTGGGATTGAGCAAGTAGTACCATGTACGATCTGGTTCGTCAAACAATTGACCCATGTGATTGGCCAATTCCTCTTCGGTACAGTCAGTGTTGACCATCATCTGTCTCAGATTGATTGTCCAACTGTGGATAGATGCAGTCTTCTCTGACCATTTGCAATGTGGGATTGCATCTCTGATCGCTTTCTCTTTCCTCTCTCTCTCTCTTCTCTCTCTCTCTACTACATTCTCTTGTGGTCTAACTAATGCTTGTATTAACTGTAAGAGCTGTGCATTCTCAAATACGACTGGAGGTAAAATGTTTTGTTGAACTAGTTGTGGTGCTGGTTGAGCCTGGGGTTGCTGTGCTGGCAGTTGTGGTTGTGCTTCCTGTTGTACTGGCTGTAGTACTGGTTGAGCCTGGGGCAAGGCTTGATTATTGTTCATTATTAATCCTAGTTCTCTTTTGCGTCTAGCAACGTATCTATTGAGTCTCTCCACTTTCTTATCAAAGAAAATATATATAAATATATAAATATTGTTGGAACAAAATAAAAAATATTTCAAATAAAAAAAATAAAATATAAAAAAGTATAACAAATATAGATATATATATATGTATAACTGTATAATGTATAGAATGCCCGCTTTATTAGTGTATTATGAATGATGTATATATACTGATTAGATGGAACATGGAATAGTGTTCTGTAGATTCCAGGATGATGACTCAGCAATGATAGAATGTATGAGTCATGGTGACACATCGTGAATCGTATGTGACAAGTCGTCACAGCATCCAATTCGAAGTCAACTACAGATGTAGGTAGGCACCCGGATTGAATGGGGTTTGAGGATGCCCAGCGAAGCTTCATGGCGGTGATTGAATTAGGAAACATAGTTGGTGGAATATCACCTACTATAACTACATCCAATGTGTGAACGCTAGAGGGAATATGTACGTTCGAATGGGTGAGATCGAGTTTTCTCTCCATTATTAAGTTGGTAACAGATTGTGGAATGCATCCAATTGGAAGTGGCTTGTTGAACTTTTTTCCTATCCGCAATGATGTCACAGAGGAAGGGATTGTTCCTGGAAGGAACTCTCCATTAACTTCGCACCCCAACACCAGCTGTGTGACGGATGGAGGTATCGAACCAAGTGAAAAGGTGCAACCGAACCCGTGCTCAATTGAAAGAATTTCAATAGAACATGGTATGATGCCAGGGGAGATGTCTTGATTGACAAGGTCGTTGAAAAAAATAGAAGTGACAGATGGGGGAATAAGATCATGGCTGATTGTTCGTTCTACCGTGAACTCAAAGCGCAAGGACTTGATATGGTGGTACTGTGAGTGTGGAACAAAGGACGGCTTGAAGTTTGAAATACGCTGGTCATAAACAACCTCCGTTGCAGTTGTTGGTATATATATTCCATTGTCGCCAATAAATGTTTGATGGTTGTCTGATTGTAAGCCACACCCATGGTAGCCCAAATGGTCGTCACTATTTTTACTGCAGACACGCCGCTTCAAAATGCTTTCTGGTAGTATAACAAGTGAAGGAAAGTAGAGGAGTAAGAATAAGAATACACGTAATACAAACATACAAACACAATATTGTGCAAATTTAATAGATACATACTCACAATAGATCTATATGTGAAGGGGGAGAAATTGGGTTCTTTGTAGTTGAGACGTTGCTGCAAAGCTGAATATATACCTTTGCACACAAGAGAAATACATAGTTGATCTATCTCATCAAGTAGAAAATAAATATGCTGAGATATGGGGTGTTCAAGTATATGGACTAACATTTGGTTGGTCTGTTATGTAAGTGAAAGTGAAAGTGAATAGTTAATAGTTGAAAACAAGAAACGAACAATGAAAGAAAATAAATTGCATTGGCCGCATTATGTGGGGCGTGTCATTCAAGACCCGGTTAAACCCAAGAAATAACAAAAAAATAGTAGGCAGATATTTCACACTCACTGCAACTTGATCAGAGGCTCCCTCTTCCTCCCTCATAACCCTTGGTGCAAGCGGAGAGTGAAAATAATAATATATATATATATATTTGAATGAAGTAGATTGAATAGTGAACATTTAAACATGTATATTGTCATCAATTATTATTGTTTTTGTTGTTGATGATGTATACAGTTAGTGTTACTTTCGTCACTGTCGTATGTTTGATTTGGGTTAGCGACATCATAAATATAGTACATGTCTAGACATGACTCTACTACTGTTTATTATTATTATTGATGGTGATGGATGAGTACAACCTTGAAACCTTGGTTTTTTGTTCATCCCTCCATTCAATGATCTGGACAAGTTATTTTTGAAGTTTTTTTATTAATGTGGGGGAACCCCCACTTTTACCATCAAGTGAGGAGGCCCTTTTGGCGAGTCACCCACAATCCCTTGGCTACTCAATCATCATTCGCAAACACACACACACACACACAAACAACGTTGTTAGAAACAAGGCAGATACTCTTCACTCAATCAGTCAACCATTCAACAAATAACAAGAAAGACGATAATAATAGTCACAGAGTAGTAACAAGTTGTAGTAGTATAGTAGTAACATTGTTGTAATATTAGTAATAGTTTTGTAATATATTAGACAAGAGACAAGAAGAAGAAGGGACAGCGAAACAGCGATGTCTACATTGTCAGTTCTTGACATGTATCCGACTCGTGCGTCGCCTACACTGCCCATCATCAACTTGGCCATACATAGAAAGGCGATGGAAGATGGTGTTGGTAGTGATGGCCGAAGTGGTGGAGGAGGCGGAGGAGGCTCGTACGAACATCACCTTGGTCTATCAATCAGTAGCAGTAGCAGCAGTAGTATAGTCAGCAGCAGTAGTCATGGTAGTAGTCTTGGCGGATCATTCAATGATCGACTGCATCATCATCACACGCTCACACATCATCACCTTGATTACGTGGACGATGATGTCGTCGACCTCTTATTGTCGCCGTCGGCCTCCACCCCCACACTAATGGTCACTGGCAACAGTAGTGCCCGCGATAGACACAGTAATATAGAGAATACATTGACATCGACGACCAACACGACGACCACAACAACGACGACCACGACTACCACGACCACCAACAATCAATCAATAAGCAATCCAAACAATATCAATCAACCTTCATTCAATGACCTCAGTCTGACATGCGACACACTCACAGAGACGGACGACGACGACTTTGACATGGCGGCAGCCGCAGACGACGAGGAAGAGCAGGTCACAGAGGTGTTCTTTGGAAATGACGCAGACGAGGAGGAGGGTCGTTCAGTCAGGTTCGACAGCTCGCACAGTGTCAAGCGTGTTCACAGCAGTAGTCGCGCATCCTCGAGCAGTCCTGGAAGTGGCGGCATCACCGCACAACAGGAGTTTCTCGAGAGTCTGACGCCACACCAACAGAACCAATTACAGTTGTTGCAGGAACTGTATCATAGTAGTTCAAGGAGGATGCGTGAGCATCGATCACCTGCAACTGTGGCAATGTCCTCGCCAAACGTCGCGGGCAGTCCTCATCGATCGAACGCATGGCCCTCGTCCTCGGACTCACCACGACTCAACACGCCACCCATGCCCATCCCATTCCTGTCGTCCTCTCCACACTCTGCCAATCAAGCTCACTCGCACGGCAACAGCAACATCAACAACACCAACAACAATGATGTCCATCAGATGTCGCCATCACCTTCACAGTCACCCCTGCTGGTGCCCCCTTATGCCTCGCCCATGTTCCTGAACTCGGGCAACTTCTCCCCACCATCCAAGTCGAGCACCAAGGGCAGCAACAGCAGTGGCGGCGGTACCAATCTAAACGTGGCCAACAACGTCTTCTCCAACATCATCAAGAAGGGCAAGAGACTGACAACGATGTTCAGCAAGGATGGCGACGCGGACGAGCAGCAACAGCACCAACAGTACAGCTACGTACAGATCTATCGTGGCATCAATGGAGAGAGCTGGCGAGCAAAGGTGAACTCATCGACAACAGTGCGCGATCTAATCTCAATGCTGTTGAGCACGACCACTATCGATCCGACGACTCTTACACTCTACATCACTCGCTCACTCAATGATTCATCGTTGGGCAGCAACAGCTCGTCCAACAACCATGGCGACCTCAACAAGCCAGTCGAGAGGCAATTGAATGAGGATGAGAAGATACTAAAGGCCCAAAGGAAGTGGCCTGGTCCATCTGTATTTATACTAAAGACAAAGAGTAAGTTATCTTTTGCAATCTGGATGAGTGCGAGGACTGGACTGACCCCTCTCCGCCCTTACCTCCCATTTGCATCAAACTTGGAAACAGAAGGAGATGGTCGATTCTCTGTTAGTTCAATCAATTCAGAGACGTCTGATCAATCTCAACATCAAAACAACTATCAATCACCTGTAGAATTATCCCCAATGGCATCTTTATCTCCATCACTCAAGTCCACCACCCCATCACCAATGTTCGAATCGACCTCATTGCACGTGCCGTCCTCGGTCGACGGCAGTGGCGGCGGCGGCCCCATGCCATACCTGAATTTGAATCACGACGGCAGCACCAACATGGACAATTCGTCCGAGTCTGAGTCGTGCTCCACTTGCAGCAGCTCCAACAGTCAATCACCCAGCTTGGACCATCAATCGAGGAGGACAAGAAGGAAGCACTGGAAGAACGGCGAGTATCCTAAAAAGGAGATACGCTGGATCAGTCCATTGGAGCTTGCAATCAGTACCAAGATTGGAGAAGGTTCCTTCTCACGCGTCTACAAGGGCACGTACAATGGCAAGACTGTAGCGATCAAAGTGCTAAACAACAGCACACCAGAGCAATGGACAAACTTCAAGAAAGAGTACCGCATCCTCAGCATGACTTCACATCCTCGTTTGATCAAACTATATGGCGCATCAAAAGAGAGCAAGGTAAGTCCTATCCCTTTATCTTTGACACCTTGGTATCAACTCTAACAAACACCCAATCTTAATCAAACATTAGTTACTGATGGTGATGGAGTACTGCGGTAATGGAAGTTTGGCCAAGATCATGGCAAGGAAGAACTTTGTCTTGACCTGGGAGCTGGTGTTGAAGTGGATGTTGGAGGCCTCAGCAGGCATCAACTTCCTACATACAATGACACCAGCACTTGTACATAGAGATATTAAGGTATGGCTATTTCCATAGGTATGGTACCTTGTGGACATCATTAACTTACATTCATCCATCCCTATCCTCAATCAATCCAGCCACATAATTTATTGATAACAACACAATATGCACTCAAGATTGCAGACCTTGGCTTGACCAAGGAGATAGACATGCAGACCAATACCCTCAAAGGAACACTGGACTACATGGCACCAGTAAGTGTTTTGACACCCAACCGTCCATTTATACATCACAACTCTCTAACATCCAATCAACACTTACCATCACCAGGAACTATTCGATGAGGTAGCACCGAGTCCATCATCGGATGTATACTCCCTTGGAATTGTCTTTTGGGAGCTTGCCAATCGATTCCTCATGGGCAAGTACAAGAGACCGTTCGAGGACATACCTCAGATCACATTCAGCTACCAGATACCTATATTCACCAAGCAGGGCATCCGCCCCAAGATGCCCGACAACTGTCCGCCCAACCTGGAGGACCTCATCCAGCGCTGCTGGCATCAAGACCCTGCACAAAGACCATCCTGTTATCAAGTGTTGTTGGACATTGAGCAAATGTACAATGACTACGTCGATCATCATAACAGCAATGGCAATGGCAATGGCAATGGCAATGGCAACGGCAACAACAGTGTACATTACCAATCGCGACCATTACCGACAATGGCATTGTAGAGCAAATAAACAACCACAACTCATATTTATTCAATATCCTGATGCAGGCCTCTTCTGGACCTGTTGTGATGGCGTCTACTTTGATGTTGTTCGGTGTGAGAGTGATGTCCCAAGTGCTTCGAATTGGAGTGCATCTCACGCCTCCACTCTTGCTCTCGATCATATCATTATACAGGGGTGTTTGTTGGTTGGTTGGTGGTTGGTTGGTTGGTTATTATTGTTGGACATAGTAATATTCGTTGCGTGATTGTAATGGATTGAATTTGATTGAATTGGATTTGGTTGGATTGGATTGGCGTTGGGTGATCCATCACCAGAGGAAGGGTTAATTAAATAATGTGACACATGACGCAGTGCGATGCTATGGCTGGATTATGGGACGGGTCATTGATGAAGTGATGATCATCACTTCGAAGATGCAGCACTGTTGCCATAAGTACGAAGCCCAGAACTAGGTGCAGTAGTGGCAGTCCTTGAATTCTGGTCCAGCTCTTTGTCACTCTTGCTACTGTTGTTGCTGATACCACTGTTGCTGGTGTTGTGGCTGTTGGTGCTGTTACTATGGTTGCCCATACTATTGTTGCCAGACACCTTCTCGGTGGCGGTTTGGCTGTTGGGCTTATCGGAAACATTGTTATTGCTGCTGTTACTGCTGTTTTGTTTGGAGTTGTTTGATTCGGATGCCAACAATGATGATGATGATGAAGACGCTGATGATGATGCCGATGTGGCCGATGTTGGTCTGATTTCTGATGATGGCTTGGAGGATGGTTCTGTGGTCTTTGATGATCGATCATCTGCTGTACTGTTGTTCTTTGTTGTTGCCGCCGTTGTCAATGATGTCGACGAAGTTGATTGTGAAGCTGATACTGCAGTGGCTCCTGGAGGCACTGACGTTGCCGTCAGGGGTGGGGGCGAGGTCGCCTGCGAGCCATCCTCCTTGAAAGATGCCATATGTTTATCCAACAGCTTGAATAGCTCGCTCACCTCTGTTTCCAACTCTTCCATAAAGTTGGCCGCTTCGTCAAGCTTGCCCTCCTTGCAGTAGGCCTCTATCTTCCCACTGAGGAAGCGCACAGCCTCTGCGCCCATATAGCTGCTCGAGCCCTTGATATCGTGCGAGTGCAAAATGGAGGCCTTCTCATCATTGCTACGCAGAGATTCGGACAGCTGCGGCAAATGTTCGTTGACCGAGTCTTTATAAGAAGTGATCAAGTCCACTTCAAAGTCGGGATCGCTGTCAGAGTAGTCTGCCAACACATTCCTTTGGAATCTCTCTGTTGGTGTTGGTCCTGAAAAGCTGGATATCATTATGTTTCTTTCTTTGTTTGATTGATTGGTTGATTGACTGTTTTGTTTGTTTGTTTGATGTTGTTGATGTTGACGATGTTGATGATGTTGATGTTGAACTTGTTATGATTAGATCGAGACAACAAGTAATAGAGAACCAATGATGAACAGCAAAAGGGGAGGGGAGCTCTTTACATCAATGACTTTGTTTCCTACTTCTAATTGATGTTATTGGTCTGTTATTGTTCTGGTTGTTTGTAGATGAAAAATTTAATGAATGATTGGTTGGAGTTGATTGTGATGATGTGTATTCTTAATTGAATCAATATTATTAAAGAGAGAGAGGACTTTGGATTCAAAACAACATCAACAACAACACCAACATTACACGAGAAGGAAGGAAAGGAAAGGAAAGGAAGGACGGATGGACAGACGGGCACAGTTAGAGTTGAGTTCCATCCATAAAAAACAAAGCTCGCAACAACCAGTTGCATTGGTAATCATGAAAGAAACAAGGGGATGAACGAGAATGCTTGCTGGAAGGGGATGGAGAGTGCAAACAAACACACACTTAGACCCACTACACACACTTCACCCCCACACCCACCTGTTCAGATGAGAGTGAGTGTGTATATGTGTGTCCAGAAGGAATGAATGAAAGAATGAATGAACACACAAAGTAGCAAGAGCTCCAATCATCAAGCGGCTCGTGCTCGCGATTACAGGTCCAACTTTAAGTTTTGTTGTTTGCAGCGTATGAAACAACCAAACGAATCTGACCTCTGTTTATTTGTTGTTGAGAACGGATATGAAAATGTGTGAATGAATGAATGAATGAATGAACAAATATCTAGAGTCAGAGTTTGGAGTATCATGTGACTTTCTTTCTTTGCCCAACACACACACACTCATGAACATCATTGATGAATCTAATCGCGTGTATTCTAACTTGATAGAGATATAAATATAGAATACCTAGCTATTGGTAATAGTAATATCCTTTAATTGAAAGAGCGAGAGGATAAAGATAGCTACCTATTTTCTTGTCGACTTGGATGTTGTTGTTGACTTAGTCGTCGAGGTCGTGGCGGAAGAGGTGTCGGATGTAGGGTACGAGTAGTACTGTTTGGAGTTACCGGTTGCGCCATGACATTTCTTAAACTTCTGACCCGACTTGCAAGGACAGACATCATTCACACCGACCTTTTGTTGTTTCATCGCAGGTATTCTAAGGAATTCGCGGTACTTGGCAATGGCGACTAAAGATGGTTGGATTGATGGATGGGTGTTGTCGTTGTTAGTTAGCCAGGACATGACAGGAAAGGACAGGATAGGATATGACACATACTAAATAGTTCACTGGTTATACTACTAATGTCTGATGTGCTGAGTGATGGGTCTTGCTTTTGTAACTTGACAAGCTGTGCTTGGTATTCATAGGGGTTCTTCTGGACCAAGTCCATCGCTTTATCACTTAACTGAACCAACCGACTCATAACCTCTGCTTGCCATTCATTATTGAATATAACTGGTGATGGTGATGGTGATGGTGATGTTGTTGGTTCTGCTGATGCAGCTGGTTGATCTCCAATTGACATTATATCATTCAAGAGTACAACAGATTTGATTAGTGTCTCATCGATTGGACACTGTTGCAATGATTGTTCTGGAATGCGATGAAGTAGAGGTGCTTCATCATTCAATGATATCGACGCAGTCTCCACCACATTGATCTCCATGAACTTGATACCATGAGAGGAGGCGGCAGAATGTTTCTCGACAACCTTTATCCACAAATCATCTATCTCTCTATTTGTTTGTTGTTGTTTAGCCTTTGGCTCCTTTGATATTGGTATATTATGACATCTCCAAACAGTGACTGTGGCAGTGGGTGTGGCAGCATCAGTGGCAGTGGAAGTGGCTATTGAAAGATGGTGATCCAATTCAGATGTGAGCAATGATTGATATGATGATATTGAGCCAGAGTAAAGATCAATATGCATCAATGATACTAATTTGGATGTTGATGTAATTGATCTTATAATGAATACACTTGAATCCAATGTTATAGAGTTACAATATAATCTATTATTATTAATATTGTTTGATTCATTTGATTGTTGTTGTAATCTTGCAATAAATCCAGTTGGTATAAGATAGTTAACAATTGATGTTGATGTTGAAGTCATTGTTTGTTATTATTTGTTTGAATCGTGTGTGTTTGTGATGTATGAATGACGAAACACTCGGTCGTTTTTTGCAATCACACATAAAACTACAACAATTTATTAATCACATGTTGTCTCGTTCAAACATACTTATTATTTGTATATATATATAGTTGTAATAATAAGAAATATAATATGATTGAGAAGATTAGACTTGACAGATTGTTGTCAAACTTGGGTCTATGTACAAGGAGTAAGGCATTGTCATTCATAAATACAAACAAGGTCACTGTACAAGGACAAAAGACAACTCCAAAGTCTAAAGTATCAATAGATGAAGTTAGAATAGCAGGTAAACAATTAGAGAATACAAAACTGTATGTACACCTCCATCATTCATTCAATCAATCAATCACATTACTCATTCATTCAATCAATCAATCAATCAATCAAACATTGTAGTTTAACAATAGCAGTTCATAAACCTGATGGATATGTATGCTCAACAGAGAAGACTGCTGATCATAAGCTGATATATGACTTATTACCGGTATGTACATGATTGGATGATTGATGGTATCATGTACATGGACTAATATTATTGTTGGATGTTGATTAGAAAGAGTTTATTAAGAGATCACCAACTTTGTCTGTGGCTGGAAGACTGGATAAATGGGTAACAGGTCTGGTACTGATGAGTCAGGATGGAAAGTTGGTCGAACGAATCATTACACCAAAGGACGATAGTGTTGGAAAGATATATGAAGTTGTCTGCAAGGAGAGGTTCAACGGTCGCGAGAAAGACGAGTTTGGGTCCGGCCAACTAATGTTGCGCAGTGAGACTGAACCTTGCAAGCCGGCCAAGTTTGAGCTGTTGGACGACGAGCTGAACAAAGCACGCATCACACTGTACGAAGGTCGTTATCATCAGGTCAGAAGAATGATGGCAGCCATGGGCAACAGGGCAATGGAGATTCACAGGACTCGCATTGGTCCAATCGAGTTGGGCGAACTGCCCGTTGGACAATGGAGACATCTCACTTCAGAGGAGATTGCAGAGTTGGAAAAGATCAAGGTCAGCAAGTCAGCAATCACAAAGAGATCATATAATCGAAAGAAGGCACTGTCCGACAAGGATGGCGGCGAAGACGAAGACGACGAAGAGGGCGACCAGAGGCTGCAGGCAGAGCTGGCCAACGAACCAGAGGAGGATGACGAGAACGACGAGGATTATCAACGCAAGCTGAAGGAGCTGATCGAGGATGAGGAGAGGATCGCCAACTCGCGAGCCGTCGCCGCCGAGCAGCGCGAGCAGCAGAAGCAGCAACACGAGACTGAGGCCAAGGTGGCCGGAAGCGCGGCTGAGAAGATCGACCCAAGAGACTTGGAGACGAACGAACAGATGCAGGCAGAGATTCATGCAGCCATCATGGCCAAGAACAAGGATGTACGATTTAATAGAAGAGGCGAGGTCATGGGAATCAACGAGGATCCAGATATCGATGTCACTGCGGAGGACCTGGAGAACCTGGTCAAGGACGATCCAGATTACAAGGCCTTCCTCAGGGAGGAGCCGGACGAAGACGATGAGTTTGATGAGGATGACGATGATTATTACGAGCGCAAGCTGGCCGAGTCAGAGATGGACGATGGACAGTCAGACGAGATCCTGCCCGGACTGGATGCTTCCGAGAAGCCTTCCAACTTCAGTCGCAAGTCCAAGCCCAAGTCCAACTTTGCCAACGAGTACAAGAGGCGACAGAGATTGCAACAGTCCAAATCAAAGCCCAAGAGGAAGGAGCGATAAAGTATATAAATATATTATATTATAATATTATGGTAACAGAGGATCAGTGTCACTGAATGATAGTGACCGCTTACCTGCTGGAGTGATGTCGCCATCATCGCTCACTGCATCATAGGAGTCCTCGTCCACGAGTATGAGGTCGGTGGGCTTCATGTCTGTACCTGGCTGGCAAAGCACCAGCTTGACACAGCCAGCTTCAAGAGGATTGAATGAGTTCAGGCTGGAGTTGTTGTCGCCATACTGTAATAGACGATCCTTTTGATTGAATGCACGTCGTTGGCAACGAATCTGATTGACCAACTCGACGGTTGTGGGTCTGATGATCTGTAGCAGGTGATCCAGTGCGATCGATGGCAACACACAGATGGCCAGCGCGAGGACCAGTGATGTCCAGAAGCTGGCAGTGTCGACCAAGTGAGTCATGACTGAGTATGTGTCCATAGTTGGCGCGGCATTGAGTACGATCAAACATAGTATATACAATGGGATAGTTCCCCAGATCAATGCATGATTGATCCATGTGATGGTACTGTTGTGATTGATTAAGTGTTAGTGAGTGATCGAGTGATTGATCGCAGGCAGGATACATACTGTGATTCAAAGAATAGAGTGAGTGATTGGAGGAGAATGAGCGCGGTGAATGATACCATTGAGAATGAACCGTAGTCAATGGTGGATCCTTGTGTGAAGGCAAAGGGACCGGCAGTGGCCGCGAATATTAGGATGGACTGGAAGGCTGCACGGAAGCCCCATCGTGTGATTGATTGCCAGTTGAATGCCGTGCTCTCCTGGGAGATAGAATAGAGGAATGGGTTGAGTCGCACGACACTCGCAGGTAGATCCTTGTCCAGGATGTAGCCCATCACAGGCAGGCCTGTGAACAGGATGTTGTAGGCTGTCAAAGAGAATGTGTTGAAGAATGATGAGCCTGCATAGCCACTGAAGAACTGATATAGTATCTGAATGAAGCATATACACAGCGACTTGTAGAAGCTATAGTTGGCCACGAAGCTAGTCCTGAGGTATGAGTATCGTCCATGTACAAACAGTAACTCTTGGAGGTGCTTGAACCTTGATATGCTGTAGTCTGCTGCACGTGCAGCTTGAAGACCTTCTCGTCCACTGATACCAACACCAATGTTGGCCTCTTGGATCATGGATACATCATTGCCTCCATCTCCAATGGATAGACACACCTTGCCAGTGTCCTTTACCATGCGCACAACCTGTGCCTTCTGCTCAGGTGTCACTCTACAACATATTACTGATGTAGATAGATCTGCCAAGGCCAATAGCTCGCGCTTAACATGAATGAGAGCTGTGTGTAGTGTATGACCCTCGATCACAATGGTCGCCTTGGGTCTCTCGTGTGAAGTTCCGTCAGTCTGGTAGCTTTGTTGGTACACCAGCAAGTCCTCCTCAATCTGCCTGATTGAATTCAAGATGTCCTTTGCCGCGACGTCCTGTTGTCCAGGTGTGCCAATGGTGTACACCTTGCAGTCCTTCTCAATGAGGTTGCATGCGTGGCCAATCTGAATGGCCGTACTGTACTTGTCTCCAGTGAGCATCCACACCTTGATATTGGCCTGTCGCAGACTTGAGATCGTCTCGGGCACGAACGGCTGCAGTCTATCCTCGATGGCTGTGATTCCCAGCAGCACCAAGTCTCTCTCCAAGCGCTCATATGCATCAAATAGCATCTGCTGTCTGTTCTCAATTGACATGCTGGCAGGTTGGAAGCGTGATGAGTGCCAGCTTTGGTACTCTTGCTCACTAATGACTCGCGAACTGATGCATAGCGTACGCAGTCCCTCTGCAGCAAACTCTTCAATGTGTGCCAGTGACTCTGCGTTAGTGACATTGAGGTGTCCCCCTGGCTTCTTGTCGGTCAGTCGCGGGATGATAGCATCGTCCGCACCCTTGGTGATCAGCTTGATTTGTCCAGTTTGTTGGTCGCGTAGCACGACACTCATTCGCTTCCTCTCTGATGTGAACTCGAATGTGTGTAGTGGCGTGTATTGATGCTCTTGTCCTTGGATATCGACTGTGACACGAGATGATGATCTTGTTGTGAATGTGATGTTGAGTGCTGCGGCAGCCTTGACCAATGCCTCTTCATCAGGTGATGATGCCCTGAGTAATAGCTTGCCATCGTGATCAGTCGATGGGAAGACAGAATGACACAGTGCCAGGGATGTAAAGAAGTCCAGTGTTGGCTGATGTCCAGCCTTCAACTCGCCCAACAGCTGTCCATCCTCCATTGATGTATGTAGTCGACTGTCAATCGAGCATCGCTTAAGCAACATTATATTCTCTGTCAGTGTGCCAGTCTTGTCGGTGAACAAATGCTCTACCTGTCCCAAATCCTCGCTCAGTGCTGTGCTATTGGCCACGGCAGCCTGATCAGTGTTGGCATTATACATATTGATGTCCCAATTGATAAACAATGCATAGCAGTACTTGATCACATCGATTGTGACCTTTAGCGAGACTGGTATCATCTAGAGTTGGTTTGAGAGGGGTCAGTGATCAGGAGGACCGTGATTGATCGAGCATGATGATGATGCTTACCATTGAGTTGAGCAAGAGGAATCGAAGGGGGATGATGATAAACTCGTACCATGGTGATTTGTAGGTGCTGGAGTAGCCAAGATACCAGAGTGAATGGATATCGTTGTGACGCACTGACTCGCCAATCGCTCCAAAAATGACCACGAGAAGAAGTTGGAATGTGAAGATGATGATTGTGACTCGATTGATGGCGTGATCCAACTTGGTCCATTTGGTGGGCGGACCTTTCTTGTTCTGACCCATCTTGGTCTCATTGCCAGAGTATACACACAGGCCATACATGTGATCAGTGTTGCGTAGTTGAGTGGCCTGCAGTACAAAGTTGTTGGTGTCCAACACGACCCAGTCTGATTGTGTGTACGTGTTTACTCGTCGACTGGCCACGACAGACATGCGGGCGTCCAGACTGTAGATGTTTGAGTTTGGTCCTGGACACTCGACCACGCCTCTGAACTTGGACAGATCGCTCATTGAGTATCCACGCGTCTCAGCTGGCGCCATGCGGCTCTTCAAATCAGTCTCGCCGTCCAAGTTGGCCGTCTGAATGTAGCAGCTGCCGTCCTCGTTGGACGTGGCCAGGATCAGAAGGTCGGAGGGTATCTCGCGATCGCCCGTGAGGTATACAATGTCGCCCACTCTAATCTCGCTGCTGCGCACCTGTTGTGTGGCTGACTCGCGCACCACGCTGTAGAGCCGGCTGTTGGCCTCGGAGTCTCTGCGCCGCCTGTTCAAATCGTCAAACACCTCCTTGATGGCCGACACGGCAAAGATGAAGACCAGTGCGCCCCAGGTGGACAATGGGTTGACTGGCGTGATTTCTGGAAACAGTTGGAGTATTGCGATGAACAGAAAGTATATGTTCATTGGTCTCGAGAACTGCTCGTACAGATTCTTTGGCAAAAAGTTGATCAAAGTGTACTTTGTATTACATATGACATTGCTTTGGAAGTGCTTATTGCGCTCCGTGTCATTGGCATACACATTTCTAATCGTCTGTTCTGCTCGTCCATTGTTCTTCTATTATGTATAAGTATGGGTTGAGTTAGTAATTGAGGCCTTCCTTGGGCCAGGGTGGGTCCACAAACATCCACATACTCTTGCGAAAAGACTTGTCAATTGATCCATTGTATAAGATAAGTGACACTTATTACATGGACACAGTGTCACATAGATAGATCTAAACTTGCAAACAAACAAATGAATGAACTCTATTCACTCAACCAAACATGTGATTGATTGATCAAGATGGACAAACAACACGAAAAAAGGATATTTGTGTGTTTTTGATGCAAAGTTTTTCACTCACACATTAAATTTTAATGTTTGATTGTGATACTGAGTGAATATCTGTGATTGATTCGTGCGACCCAGGATTGTACGGGGTCTCCAATTGGATGTCGCTCAGTATCCCAGGTCTCTGTACAACGCCATCATTGTGAGGTCTTGTCGTCAGGTGGGAACATCGTCTTGGACTGAGGTGAGAGGTTCGCTTGATTGGACAAGCGTTGGCAAAAGGAACATTCATCCATCCATTCATTCACGTGATTGAGCGCTATCACTTGCTCACTGGTGTACTATTGTTGTTGGAGTTGGAAGTAGTGCCGCCACTACCACTACTACTACTATTACTACTTGTGTTGCTGCCAAGGTCGCCAAAGACACGAGATAGTAACCTTTTTGGAGGTTGTCTACGTATTAGCTTCTCTCGCAGTGCTTTGAGGAAGGCCTTGCGAGTGGCCATCTTGTCGCATATCTCTGCCCACTCCTCCTCTGTGATGGACGCAGCAATCTCGAATGAAACGATGTGATTCTCCAATAGATGTGCCTTGAGGTAGTTCTTGTGCTTGTCGTCCAGCTTGATGCTGTTGCCATCGAGCCACTCTTGAAAGTCCTTGTTGAAGCTGATAGGTGGTGTGCTGCTGCCCGGTGTCGATGTGTTGTCTCCCGTGCTCTCGTCGTATGGCACGAACGGCTCGGTGTAGTCTGGGTCGTGGTAGAGCGCCTTGAGGAACGCGTAGTTGGAGCGATCCCACTCGTCCAGGATGACAAAGTAGTAGACGAGGAACATCTCAAAGTTGATCTGATCAAAGATGACAATGTTGAACTTCTCCAGCGTACCCAGCACCTGATACTCTGCAATACCCAGGATCTTGGCAAACTTGGTGAACCGGTGGAAGTTGATCGTGTGGTCGTCGGACGCAGACGAAGCGCCTGCCTGCTGCTGGAGTGATGTGTTGCCAGGGCCCGACGCCATGCCCATGCCACCGGAGCCAGAGATGTCGCCGCCGCCACCACTGCCATCGTCCACGACCTCGGGCAGATCGGCTCCACCTGCCGCCAGGATCTCAAACATTACGCGGCTGTGCTGGTAGAGGAACTTGGTGGTCTGGCCACACTCACGCGAGGCAAACAGTGCGATGATGAGGAAGAACTCCTCGAAGCCGACGACGCCAATGTCATCGCGGTCCAGCGCGTCAAAGAGGTCGAGGATGTGGAAGTAGCTAAAGTCGGTGAGGTGGCGCATAAAGAGCAGGAACTGCGCCTCGCCCATCGTGAAGTCTGTCTGCTGTGTGTTGCGTTCGTACCAGTTCTTGGCTGTGTTGAAGCCCGACTCTGTGTAGAGCTTCTCAAACAGCGTCCTCTGTTTCAGTCGGTGGTGATGATTGGGTGGCCGCAGCGAGCTGTGGCTTTGTCGTCGTGGCTGAGGCAGTGGTGGCTGTGACTGTGACTGTGGCGGCTGTGGTGTAGGTTGTTTGGACTGCTGTACATTCGTTGCTGATCCGGTGGCGGGGGTAGATGTCGATGCTGACGCTGATGGTGCTGCTGATGTTGGCGGCGACGGTGATGATGTTGTGATGTGTGTGCTGGATGTTGGAGATGTTGGCGGTGAAACACTCGATTCAAAGTCGAGGAAGGAGTTGTTGAGATAACTGTTGAGTGGAGAGAATGTGTTGGGAGAGTTGCCAGATGATAGCAGTGATGAGCTGCTTGGTGAAAATGATGTCGACAATGGTACAAGCGTTGATGTTAATACAAATGGTATGTGATTATTATTTGTGTTGTTGTTGTTATTTGGTGTTGATGGCTGTTGTTGTTGTTGCTGCTTGTCTGATGAGATTGGTGTTGTTGGTTCATTGATTGTATTTACACTGCTATTGCTATTGTTGTTGTTGTTGTTGCTATTATTACTGTTGTTGTTGTTGTTGATGTTTAGGGAGCTGAGGTTGCTTGCTGATCTTGGAGGAGGTATTGGTTTGGTTATGCCTTGTGATGATGTCTGTAGTTGTGTCTTTGGAGGTTGAGGCTGAGGTTGAGGCAGTTTTGTACTGCTTCGAACCGATACCTTTGGTGATGGAGGTGATTGTTGTTGAGGACTACTACTACTACTATTATTGTTTACAACCTCTATCGATGATGATGTCAACTCATTGAAGTTACTACCTAAAATAATCGCTTTAAGTAGTTCAATGTTTATCTTCATTGTTGTTGTTATCTCTATATGTACTTCATGTAATAGATATCAATCACATTGTATACAACTATCTATGTCTATCTCTGTATGTCTGTTGGTAACTAGTTAACTAACACGATTGTTTGATTGATCACAGTTTGACCAAGAGACGCGTGAATGTGTTTGTGAATGAGTGTTGGGGGAAGTTGTTTGTTTATGGGTCATTTACAAATTGATTGGTTGGCTAAGTCGAGGAAGTTGGAAGGTAGAGGGTAGAGGGCTATTTAATATCTGTCGGTCTGACAATCCTTCCAAATTGATAGGCGAGGAAACTGTAGATCTTGTTGAATAGACTCTTGTTGTCCAGGTACTCCAGTGTGATCTCTTCAGATTGTTTCAGATCCTCGTGGAACTGTCTCTCGATGTACTTGGCCACGCGCTCATCCGTGATCGATACGCACACCTCCAAGTTGCGCTGACTCCAATGATCGAGATTATACGATCCAATCGTATTGTACTTTCCATCAATCGTTATCGTCTTGGAGTGTAATCTTGTTCCAGTCATCTCGTAGATCTTTACTCCTTTCCTGCAAATGATTTGATCAATTGATTGATGAGCGAGTGAGTGATTGAGGCGAGGTTGATCAAACATGACATCGACCCTTTTGGATACATACTCTAGAAATGGTCTATAAATGTGTTGTCCGGCCATGCGTACCCAGGGAACGTCTGAGATGCCGGCGGTCAGGATCTTGACTTCGACACCACGTGATGCTGTGTCGATGATGGCCTTGCGAAGGAGTCGTGGCGGCATGAAGTATGCAGAGGTGAGGTAGCAGTTCTTGTTGCAGTTCTTCAACAGGATGCTCAGTCCTCGTTGCAGGTTACGCTTGCCTCGCATCAGGTTGGACTCCCATACTTGGATGGGGACATCCTCCACCTTCATCTTGTTCTCGTCAAATTCGTGTGCGGCATCCTCTCCGTCTTGAAGGTAGTCATCGTCGTCGTCCTCGTCGTCAAAGTCGCGGTTGTCTTCCTCGTTGTAAAAGTCGCTAAAGTACTCATGGTATCGGTCGTACAGTATCTTGTCGCGTATCGAGTCGTCCATCGGACGGCCCAGGTCTGGTATAATTGATTGTGGATCGATGCTTGGCATTATAGCCTTGCCAGCCTCCGAGGCAGCCGCCGCCTCTGCAACTGCAGTCTCTGAGTCTGCCCCTCTCTCCAGTGATGAGGATGCGCGTGATGTCGTTGTGGTGGATGTTGGTATGTTTGATGAGTATGAGGATGAGGAGGAGGGATCGTCTTGATCCCTTGTCGTTCCAGATTGAATCAAATGTGATCGTTGTTGTGAGAATAGTGTCTGCTTGTCCTTCTTTGTGCTGTAGAAGGCGTCCAGGAGGTCCTTGACAACGGGCCCTTCAATCTTAACGTGCGTGTCTCTAAAGTATGATGTGCCCAACACCTTGCCAGCATACTTCTCGCTTATATTCATGCCGCCACAATAGCCAATCTTCTCATCGACAACGATCATCTTTCTGTGATTCCTAAACATGATGGGGAAGCTCGTTGAGAAGAATGGATTGAACTTGATCAATGCTGTAGTGTAACGAATGAGTGAGTGATTGAACCAGTCACGCGGTCGTTCTTATGAGACATAACATACTTGCACCGCTGTCTTTCAGTTCTTGAAGATGTGAGTCAGAGATGGACGAGCTTCCAATGGCATCATAGACAAACTTTACTTTGCATCCTCGCCGTTGTGCTGCCGTCAGCAACTGAATGGTCCTCAATCCAACGCTGTCAGGTTCAATTGTATAAGTCTCCATGTTGATCGAGTGTTTGGCCTATGAGAGTTCATCGTTAGTCAGTAAGTCAGTCAGCAATATCGTCACGATCTAAGAGAGAGGTTGCCAACATACATTCTCAATGCTGTCCCACATCGACATGAATGTGTCGTCGCCATCAAAGAACAGAGTGACATCATTATGTTCACTCCAATTCGAATCAAGTCTGTACAGTCTAATGATTGATTGATTGAGTTAGTGATCTGATAGACAACACGATATGATTGAATAATACCTACTTCTTCAATATACTTCTGGACACGACATACTTCCATAGTCGTGTCTTCTTCAGTGATTCAAACAGCTTTGGTGCTTGCTTTGAAGGGAGACTCATCTTGTTGTGTGTATCTGTATCTTTGTATCCTATACTACAATTATATCACAACATCATCGTCTATGAGAGAGATAGATATTAACTGTTGTTGTCTTATCTGAATCAATCAATCACAGCACATCATTGCATCATTAGTGACATCCCCGAACTTGAATTGCGAATTGTAGTTCATTCACACGTGACTGCTCAAATTCGATCTTATGGGCTGGAACACATGATGAGTCTTTGGCTAAAGGAACGAAGACCATAATCATGATCACGCATCACAATCATCCATCCATCCCATCATACTTGTACAACTACACGTCATTGTGTGTCGACCAATCAATCAAGTGAGTCATCTAGTCGATCAATCCACTCGTCCTGACGAAGGACGGTGGAGGTGGAATGTTGTTATTTACTTGTGTTGCCTGGAGATGTACTGCTACCACTACTGCTACTACTGCTACTGGTGTTGTTGGATGATGATGCGGCTGCTGCTCTTGTACTACTATAATACTCATTAAAGTCAAGCATGTAGGACATGGAGATTGGATTGACATCCTTTTGAAGCTTGAGGTTGGCCATCTCTTGTTCAAATTGATTGAACACAGTCCTGTAGTCGCGATATAATACACTGAGATGTGTGACATAGTTGGTTAGTTCGCGACCAATCCTTGACTCTTGTGTCTCGGAGATCTTGACCTCCTTGCGCACGGCATCGGCCAACGAGCACAGATTCTTCTGGAGCATCGTGAACTTGTTGATGACGACCAGTATGCGCTTGAACACGTCGTAGCACGACTCTGAGTTGGACAGGAAGGTCTTGGTGCATATATCCTGCAGGTACTGGCTGTGCGCGTCGATTAGCTGATCCAGGTCGCTGGCGGCGCCGACGGCCTGCTGCATCTTGACCCACGAGTTCTCGATCGCCTCAAACATGACGTAGTAGTTGAAGTTGGTGATAAAGTGTGTCATCTCGTGCGACAGCATGTTGGAGCGCTGGAAGTCCGTGCCAAAGCTCTTTGAGTACTTGGACATCAGCACCAGAGTGTTGTAGCTGGCGCGTGTCTTGCGCCAAATGGACGACAGCGAGAACTCCACCTTCTTGACCGTCCACAGAAAGTGGAAGATCTTCTTGTAGCGCACCATGTCCTGCTTGGAGATGATCGTGGTGATGGGCATGTCGATGTGGTAGTCGATTGAGAAGATGTCCCAGCCTGTGCTGCCCGGTCGCTCGTCAAGCAGCGAGATGTCCAATCGCTTCAGAATGTCCTCGTCTTCGTACTGTGCGTTCGACGTGCGTATCACGCTCTCCATGATGCCGACAAGGCGGTGGCGCGTAAGCTGTGCGGCAGGTTTCAGCAAGTCCTCGCCAATCATGTCCATCAGGCCCTGAATGAAGTCGCCCTGTCCCAGCAGCATGTATCGGCGCAGGGCTTGGCAGTGCTCCATGTATCTGAACTTGTCCATCATCAGATTGAACAGACGCTTGCTGCTGTGCTCTGACGTCCGGTTGATTACTGCCTCGAGGTTGCCAAGGTCGGCGTATGTCTCGAGCTGCACGCCTGGGCCAAGGGTGAACCTGTCCACGGACCAATGGGTCTCCTTGCAGCACTGTTTCATAAAGTTGATCGACTTGCCTATCAGGAGGATTCGTCGGCTCATGTCCTGGTCGATGAATGTCGGCAGCATGTCGGCCTGCAGCGTGTACTTCTCCTTCCACACGCGCTCCAGCTGTATCTTTTGATTCTTGAGGATGAAGAACTCGCCAAAGGGATCGTTGATCTCGCCCTCAAATATCCATCGGGTGATCATCGTGATGATGGGCTGTGAGATGCGTACCAGTATCGATTTGACCATTGAGTGTACAACACTGTTGCCTTGGGCCGAGAATGACTCGACGTAGGAGATGGTGGCACCACCCTTGCGATTGGCAACGCCGGCCACCAATGCGGCAAGTGATCGCAGTCGCGCCATTGGTTCCTGTATCCAAACAAACACGCCCATCAATGACGTGTTCTCGCTCTGGTAGTCTGGAGGTGGCTTGTATGATTGCAGTGCGGGGTTGTCCGTCACATTCCTATCTATCTTTGTCTCTAGAATGGCTATCAAGCGATATAACTCTGCCAGCTCGTCTTGTAGCGCGGAGCAGAAGCACTATAGAGCAATCAATATCGATCGATTGTTAGGATATTGATGTGATTGAATGATCGCGAGAGAGATGGACACTTACCTGGTTGACGAGACCCTTGTGGCGGAACTCTCCGTTGACCAGGAAGATTCGGATCTGCCTGAACAGCCAACCAAACTCTGCCAGACGGCCAATCATGTCGCGTCGAGGCCTTGACAGGTTCACATTGGGCTCCACGGCGAATGAATCAATGTCGTTGAAGAACTTGATGTACTTGCCATCGATACCCTGAAACACGTATATGAGGTCGCGTACCAGTAGTTCTTCGGCCACATCGACAAGTGGCTGTCTATTCTGTTGTTGCTGTTGTTGGTGTTGTTGTGGTTGTTTGGCCGCCGGCTTGGGCGACAGTGGAGACGTTGTCAGTTGCATTTTTAAGAAGTTGTTGTGCAATGGAGGTGGCTGATGCATCGTTTGCTGTTGCGATATCTTGGTCTGTTGTAGTTTGCTCTGTATCTGCTCCTCCAGAGATGCTGACTTGGCCTTGTGTCTATCATCCATCACACCGCCATTGGTGACTATTCTTAACATTGTTTCCAGAATGACCTGATTGTTCTTTGACGTTGACAACAGATCACGATACAAGTCTCCAAACTTGATCAACTTTTCTTTGTCTCCAGTCTTCTTTACTGTTATCGATATCACTTGTCAGTATCATTCAATCATTCATTCAATGATGGGATGATGACTTACATGCTTGTTGCAGTTTATCATACATTGGTAGATCGTCGACGTTACTACCATCGGTCTTCAATCCAGCAGCGTGTTGTTGTTGCTGTTGTTGTCTTGATATAGAGTTGGTGCTCTCGGCCAACCTCTTTCTGTAATCGCTGAATGATTCATTGTCAGATTGTTTGACTACAAGTGATAGCATCTTAAATAGGAGATCGGAGAGCACTGATGTCGATGTTGTTGATGTTGTTCTATTCTGAGTGGTTGATACTCCATTCATTCTATTATGATTCGTTGATGTTGATGTCGATGTTGTTGAGGTTGATGTTGATGATTGACGTGAAGTATTATCATTGTATTGTTGCTGTTGTTGTTGTTTCAAGGTGTTCATTGTATATTGTTGTTGATCATTATTCATGACTTTGTTGTTATGATTTGCTGCTGTAGTCGTTGTTGTTGTATGTGGATGATTATAATCCATCACTATATTCTATCTGTCTTATTATCTATCTATTATATAACTTTGATTGATTAATGAATGAATTCTCAACTTCAAAGATGAAGAATGTTTTGGCGCCAAGTAAAAGAATCGGAACTTCTTCAAATTCAAAAGAATCCCAACAACAACAAACTCAACAATGTGCAACATCCTGCATTCCCAAACACTATTCATAAAGATACAATGTTAACAAATGGTTATTGAATATAACAAAGAGTTGAAGCCATTGGAGAAGGCATTGGAGGAATGTAAGAAGTCGGCACTGTTTTGTTGTCAGGGCGAGTCAGAGTTGCCAATGCCAAGGATCGACGTGAAGGATGTTGGTGTGCTATCATTCCCAATGTCACAACAACAACTGCAGAGTATGATAGTCCAACGTGCGACACATTGTGATGGCAAAGGATCACATGTATGGCAGATACAGAACACAGACATCAGCATCACTGGTCGTCACTTCCACACGTTCTTTGACAGAGTGATCGTTGCCATCACGGCGTCGATGGGTCTGACCAGCGAGAAAGTGACAGCAGAGTTGTACAAGATGCTCATATATGAAAAGGGCAGCGACTTGAAAGGAATTGGGGCCGAGAAGGCTGACAAGATGTTTGGAACACTCGTGCTCTCGTTGCCTTGCGCACATCGTGGCGGTGACCTGGTCATCAAACATTCAGGTCGCAATGAAGTGGTGTCATTGGAGAATGACTCAATGTCAGCGATCAAATGGACAGCATTCATTACTGATTGTCAACATGAAGTCAAGCCAGTCACTGAAGGCAATCGAGTGTGTCTCGTTTACAATCTCATGCGATCCGGAGTCAAGAAACTAAATGTCAACGTCAACTATGCTGCGCCAATCATTCAATCATTGAACCGTATCTTTGCTATCAATCCGCCAGTGCCCCCGAAACGAACAAGTGAAGAGGGCATAAGTGCAAGTAACAAGATCACCAAGAAGGCCAAGACCTCGACTACGACTACATTGACGACCATGATGGATGAATTCCAAGATGAGGACAAAGATCTTGGTAAAAGACCTGAGAAGCTAGTCTATGTACTGGAGTACGAATACTCAAAGTCCGACTTCACTTTGGATTCACTCGATGGTGTTGACGCACTCTTGGCTCGTCAGTTGATGTTAATATCCGAGGAGGCACAGATCAAACTTGGTCTGGCATTCATGCACATTAATGAGTATGTATGTATGTTGGCTGTCTGACTGGTGACTGGGTACTCACTCATTCATTCACTCGCTCAGGTCTGGAGAAACAAAGAATGGCATTAAGGAGCAACGTAGATTATATTTTTCCCTTAAGAATGTCAAGGATATCGAGACTGGTGAGATGATCATTGACGCAAATACATCATTGGAATACAAGGAGCTAATTTCTGAGGATTGTTGGAACAGTTTCATACCGGACAAGGAGGAAAATGATCATGACACCTACTCTAGGTACTACAAATTGTCAGCATTGTTGATATGGAGCACCGCGGTCAGTGGCAAGTTCACCATGGTCAGTTCAGTGGACATTGCTCTCTATACTCTAAACAGGGAGTTGGTTAGTCTGGGCGGCATCGATGCCAACCCCTGTCGATCGCTTGACCTCTTCAGAGCAATGTGCACCTCCTTGGAAAGAATCAAGCAGAAGACTCCCGAGTATGTCACCTCGTTGCTCTCAATCCTATCCACAATCAAAGATGATCGATACATGCCCGACTACCTCAAGTGAATGCTGGTTGGCATTGACAAATTATTCGAGACAAACATACATATGGACTCGTTCTTGGAGCTGGTGCTTCGCAGACCGGCAATGACACCCGAGGCAGTGACTGAGGTGCTCAAACTGTTTGTGTCACGACATATCAAATTTAATGGAGCGTTTGATCTGTTGGACAGGCTGTTGGTGCTTGACAAACCTCCAGTCCACTTCTCCACGCTGATACCAACGCTGGCCAGACTGATTGCTGGAGAGCTGCACAGCAACAGGAGAGCACCAGCGCGGTTGAGAACTAATTGATCAGTGTAACATAGTTTGGTGACGAACTCCTCTATGTGTGTGCCATCCAGGTTCACTGCGCGCCATATGATATGCAAACCATTGGCGATGGCTACGTCATCTTTCCAATATTTAAAACAATCTTGGATGTCATTAACATATTTGGCGAGTATCTTTTTGAAATCACTGCCCTGGACCCATTCTGGATGTGCTGCGCTGACTCTCTCCAACGGTGTCAAAACTCTAAGATTTATCCATGCACTGAAATGGTTTGTAATATTGACCACAAACTTGTATATATCATTCAGTATTCCATCTGTGATGTATATTGGTGCAGTCACATTTCTGATCGACTGGCCATACTTCTCCAATTACATCACCGATGGCCTACTGCATGAGATGTTCAAGACTGTGGTGAAGAACTGCTGCGTCAAGACCATCCATGTCAAGGAACTTGTTACAACTTTGGCTCGGCTGGATAGAGTCACCGCGGCACATCCCACTTGGATCCAAGGAGTCGAGTACAAACAGTTGCTGGCGCGATTCGTTGAGAATACACTCTTCTATAATTCCAATGATGACAATGTATCCGCCAACAACCTGAACATCATCTGGCATGCCTTGCACGCTGAGGGCACATACATCAAGACGTTCGCAACACAACTCTGCTCCAAAGACCAGTTCCCCAATAACACTGGTGCCCTCATATGTCTGCTCGGACTGCTGACCACAGAGTATGGCAACTCGCCTCACTATGCAAGCTTGTGGACCGTTGTCTCGACCAGCCAAATGAGGGTAGCCAGCATCAAGCCACCGCATGGCAATGAGGTACGCGGTAGAGTGTCGTGCACTTGTGTCAACTGCAAATCATTGGTGCAGTTCCTACGCTCCCAACAGATGACCATGCATCTCAAGGCGAGGGTGTCTGACAGACATCTTCTTTCGTACTCTGCAAAGCCGTTCAATCTCAAGTCCCAAACACTTGAGCACGGTATGCCACGTACGCTGGTGTTGACCAAGACCGCCGAGATGATTCAGAGCCAGAAGGATGCACACACTAAAGCCGTCAACTCCTGCCGTAAACTGCTTCAACTCAAACCAGCTGGCAAAGATGCGGTTGCACTTGAGGCGCTGGTCGGCACCGCCTCCCTCACACTTCCAGCTTCATCAACTTCAACGACACAGACTTCGACTGGTGTCAAGAATGAGATAATAGAGTTGGACTAACCATTGATCAATCATTATTTATACATTCCAGGCTGAGTCCATGACAAAGTCGGCCGATCAATCAAATCAAACCATAAATGTAATTGGTGTGGACGACTCACACGAATTTGATCACTTTGTTTCAACATAACAATCACATAACATAAATGGTAATATTTAACAAAGAGTTGAAGCCATTGGAGAATTTACTTAAGGAATGTAAGAATGGTGCACTGTTTTGTATTAAGGGCAAGACAGAGCTGCCAATGCCAACCATTGAGGTGAAGGATGTTGGTGTCTTGTCATACCCAGTGCCACAACAACAGATACAGAGTATAGCAGAACATTCTACGGGTGAACCTGATGTCAAAGGAACAAACCGGATAGTGCAACAAATCTGGCATATACCGAGCAAGGACATCACCATCACTGGTCGACACTTCCACTCATTTTATGAAGGCGTTATCCATTCAATCACAGAGTCGATGGGTCTGACCGGCGAGATAGTGGCAGCAAAGTTGTACAAGTTGGTGGTCTATGGCAAACACAGCTCCTTCCTGCCACAACGCGACTCTGAGAAGGCTGACAACATGTTTGGAACACTCATGCTCTCGTTGCCCTGCTCACATCGTGGCGGTACCCTGGCCATTACTCACTCGGGCAAGAAGATGTATGTGTCATTGGAAAACGACACTGTGTCATCTATCAAATGGACAGCATTCTTTGCTGACTGTCGACACGAGTTCATACATGTCACTGAAGGCAATCGAGTCTGTCTCGTTTACAATCTCTTTCGATCTGGAGTCAAGCAACCAAATGTCAAAGTCAACTCTACTATACCGATCATTCAATCACTCAATCATATCTTTGGTGTCAAGCCTCCAATGCAACCTATACCCGATCTGAAGGTTGAGGTTGAGGGTGATGATGATAACAAGATCACCAAGAGGGCCAAGACCTCTACCAGCACAACAGTGACCACAAAGGTAGAGATGGAAAAGCAGGCAGGCAACGATGCTCAAAGACTCGATAAGATAGTCTATGCACTGGAGCACGTATATTCAATGTCCAACCTCACACTGGAGTCACTCAAGGGCAATGACGCAATCTTGGCCCGTTGGTTGTTGTCAATATCCGAGGAGGCAAAGATCAAACTTGGTCTGGCATTCATACACAACGAAACGTATGTAGCTGGCTGGTTGACGGTATGATCAAGGGACACTCAAGCTCACACCCTCGACTACAACGGCCATCTTAGATATTTGGCGATTAGTAGGCATAGTAGCAAAGAGGAGCATTGCTATACTAATCTGACACTGGAGGATGTCAAGGATCTCGAGACAGGCGAGATCATCACCTCTAAATCATCAATTAAAGAAAATGAGCTAATGCCCGAGGATTGTTTGGACTTTAACAATCCGTTCAAGGAGAAGTCCAAGAGTGCGACGTGCAAAAAAGACGGCCGCGTAGAGAGGTTCTACCGACAGTGTGCATTGATGATATGGAGCACGGCAGTCAATGGCAAGTTCACGATGGTCAGCTCAGTGGATGCTGCCCTGATCATTTTCAACAAGGAGCTGAACGAGCGAGGGGGCATTGATGCCAACCCCAAGTTATCAATTGACATGTTCAGAGAAATGTTCTCATCCTTGGACCGAGCCAAAATGACTCCAGATCATGTTACAAAGATGCTCGTGATCCTGTCCAGAATCAAAGACGATCGATACATGTCCGATTACCTCTCGTGCATGCTGGTTTGCATCGGCTTGGCCTTCAGGTCCAACATTCATTTGGACCCGTTCTTGGAGCTGGTTCTTCACAGACCGTCAATGACACCAGAGTCAGTGACTGAGATGATCAAACAGTCTGCGTCAGAACATGTTGCATTGGACTTCTCACTCAGTCTGTTAGACTGGCTGTTGCTCGAGCACAATCCGCCAATACCGGCACACTTGACTACACTCATACCAACGATGGTTATTATGATTGCCGGAAAGCTGGACTCTTTGGCACGATGCGATCAGCTGATCGTCACAATCAACAAGCATGCTGTGTTTGAGAGGCAACGCCAACAACTCCTGGATAATATCATACAGATAGCTCACAAGATACTGTTGGCCACCCAGTCGAAAGAGATCAATCAGATCATCATGTATGTGGAGAAGCAAACCGAGTCTATCACTAATGGCACCGCACCAATATACATCACAGATGGCCTACTGCATGAGATGTTCAAGATGGTATTCACAAGCGCTTGCAATAGTTACACCGATTACATCCGTATCACAGATCTTGTTCCAAAGTTGGCAATGGCGGAGAGAGTGATGGCAGCACACCCTCTTTGGGTACAGAGTAGCGAATTCAAAGAGATGCTCTCTAAACTAGTTATTGGTGATTTAGATCGATATCTTTGTTATTGGTCAGATGTCCAGGAAGTCACCAACAACCTGAACATCATATGGCGCGCCTTGCACACTGATGGAACACACATCCAGAAGTTTGTAGCGCAACTCTGCTACAGCAAATCTCTGTCTTACAAACATGATAGGGTGCTCCTATGTCTGCTCAGATTGCTACACACTGCCTATGTCAACTCGCCACACTATGCAACCTTGTGGAACTATCTATGCACTTTCTTTGTGGGTGTCCAGCCACCCCAACTCAATGAGATACGTGGTACAGTGTCTTGCACTTGTGACCATTGTCAATCACTCCAGCAGTTCCTTAGATCACCACAAGTGTCAATGCAACTCAGGGCGACTGAGCCTATGAGGCGTCATCTTTCAAAGTCAGCCGCAGAATTCAATCTCCATAACATAACACATAAGGGCTCAAATCCACACACTCTGGAGTTGTCAAAGACCTTCGACATGGTTCAACAACAGCAAGATCATTACGTCCGGACAGTCAACATCTGCCACAGCCTACTTAAGCTCAAACCACCAGGCACAGTCGCGCCAGTGCTTGTCTCCCTAGTCAGCAATACTACGCCTCCATCTGTTTACCCTCATACCTACATCCAGGCAACCTCAGCCACTGCCCCGCCTCCAACCTCAATGACGTCAACAACATCAACTATAACGCAATCAACAATCTACATGGTCAAGAAAGAGATCTTACAATAATACAATTTATTAATTAGTTAGTAAATGCTGGAACGACAATGCCATTCTCGATAAGAAGTATTTGGTAGAGGTTGTAGTCGTTGTCATTGAATGGTTTGATGATTGAACGATACTTGTCGTAGAGGATGTTGTTACTGTTGAATAACTGGACATTGGCATCAATAGATTGTATCGGGTATTTATCCACTTGTATTCCTCTCTTGATCCTCTCCAACGTCGGAGGTACGATGTATGGCAGTTGTCCAGGTTCGGACAGCGGAAGAACTGCATCAAGTATCGTTTGGTAAAGTGGAAATCCAAGTGAGACCTCTTCCAACAATCGATTGATGAACTGGCTACTGCGCTTGGAGGCTGGATCAATGCGCTCAAAAACAAACGCAAAGAAGTCCTTTAAACGATCATCCTTGTTAAGGTTCAGAGTCCACATGCAATCTTCAAGGTATAAAGTGAAGACACTGGCTTTAATGTATTGGCGAGCGCGATCAATGTTATCGCCAGAGTGATTCAGTATTGCTTGTTCATCAGTAGACATAGACAATATGTAGTCGATTGTTTGATAATTGAATGTGAGCAATGCGCCAATCATATCTGTTTCAGGATTCGAATGGAATCCATTGTCCTTGAGGAACTTGATCACCCTGATGTCTCCACTACGAAAACAAACGTCCTCGATCAAACTTTGATTCTTAACCGATGGGTCATAGAGCTTGACCACCAGGTCATATACTCCTAATCTGGCGGCGGTCGTGAACAATGTATGCCTGTATTGATGGGCATGTCCATGCGCACAGAACATATTCAGTGTTTCACGCGAGATGTTGAATGGACCAGTGTATAATCGTTGAGGAGGAATGACAGTGAAGCTATTTGGCTTGAGTAGTTTGAGCACCTGGTCTTGGAAATCGATTGAGCACTTGGATAGTGCTTCCAAATCCAAGTTTAGGAACACAAACTTATCATACCGATTGTTGATCAGAAGCCGTACCGCCTCCTCATATTGTTGTTTGATCGCTTCATTCAATGCCGCATGCAGGTCGATGTGAAGATGGTTGATAATCGATGTGTTGCACAGCATCTCTTCAAGGCGCAATATGACATCCATGCGTCTGGCAATGATTGCCTGTTTGTAAACCTCCGAGAAGCTGCACTTGATCAAAGTGCTAGACTCCAGAAGGTAGTCCATCATTTCCATAGTGTGCTCATTCATCATGAGTTGAGTGACAGTCCACTTGGTGTTGGTTCCACACTTGATGTCAACTTGCTTGCATAGCGGACCAATGTGCTCGATGACATAGCGCACCCATTCGAAGCGTCCTTGCTCCAAGGGAATGTCCAACAATTCTTTCTGACCAAATGAGAATGGACAATTGTTCTGATGATAATATGATGGAGTTGATACCGCCACCTCAAGATCTGAACGGATGTATCTAAGGTAGTCAATGTTTCCAGAGATAGAGGACTGGTGCAAAAGATTGTATAGCATGTACTTTCGTTCGTTGGACACTTTAGGAAGTTTGTACTCGATCTTGCCGAGAGCGTATTCATCCCCGTACCTTGCCACTGTTGTGTGGAACTTGTCTCGATCAATGTGGCGCCAACCCTTGTCGATGATGCGTAGAGCCACACGGCATCGCTTGTGGAACAACGCCAGACCCAGCAGTGTGATGTAGAACTCTCCATCCAGGTCGGTACCATCGGTGAGCATGTGATAATAATCAAATAGTTCAATGATTGTTGCGCTGGACTTCTGCTTAAAGATTGCTGTATGAGCGCTGTTATTGGGGTCTGCCTCTCCGCTCAAATGCTTGAGAATAGATGAGCGATGGCTCCAATTGAGCTTGACGATGGATACGAACAACTCGATATCGGCATGGTACCCGAGTGCAGACACTGCCATCAACTTGACTATGACTGAGGGCAAGGTCCATCCACCATCCATAAGCTGCTTGATGAATGAATGATTTAGAGATACGATTGGATCATGTTTAGTGTCTTTAAACAGGTCCTTGAGTATGTTGTTGATTGGATTAAGTTGGTCAGAGTCTGGTGGCATGGCAACAAATCGATCAATGATAAAGCCAAAGATCACATTGTTGTTTGTGACGATAGACTGCTTGATCGTCTGTCTGATAGTGTAAGCTAGTACACTGTATGTACTGGTTCCTAGAGGGTTATCAAGTAGTACACCCAACAGAAGGTTGTGGCCAGCCTCATTATTTATGTACAACTTGTTGAAGAATCGAATGAATCGTTGATTATCACCTGCTGTTAGGCATTGTCCGAGTGTTGATATGTCTCTACCTCTGATCATACTCAAGTCCATACTCTTGTTAATCATTGAGATGAGACTAGAGACCTTGTTTCTCGTGATTACATTGATCAAGAGTACATGACGGACCAAGTCCATCAGTCTCTCATCCCTCTCCATCCTTGATTGATTATGTATTTGATTGATTGATTGATTGATTGAATGTTGTTAGATCACTTTGTGGTGTGCCTCATTAAGGAGTCCGGGTCCAATTTGATCAAAGAAAGTTATAAGAATAGTTTATTAAATGATTGATCGATCTATTCGTATTTGCTTAGTATGCTTGTGACATGATAACCTTGGGATTGGCTGGCATCGTTGTGTTGTAGCCGTAGGGTGTCCAGAGTAACTCCACCTTCTTGAGTACCTTGTCACCTGGACAGTTCTCAACGATGAACTTGGTGCTGTAGCCACTGGTTGGATTGGTGTACGACTCGTAGATGTCTGGACTCATTGGTGTGTTTGACTTCCTCAGACCGGTCTGAAGCAGCTTGACCCACATGGAGCCATCAGCGTAGGTGACGCGCATTGTGTAGTCGCATCCACTGCCGTGGCACCACCATGGGAACGTGCCCCTGTTGGGCACGATCAGGTCCAACTGAGACTGGTCTCTCGGATCGATCCAGCGTCGAAGGTTGCCAATTCTCTTGAACACGGGGTAGATGATCGAGCAGTCGGTGCATGGGGACGTGTCGGCGGTGATCAGATGCATCATGATCGTGTACATTGGCCTGTTGCGGATGTAGGGGAAGCCGCTGTCCATTGAGTTCTTTGAGTTGTTGGTGATGATGTACTCATCGTACCTTAGCTCAATGTTGTTCCAGAACAAGTACTTGTCGTTGGCCTCGTCGTAGACAATGTTGGTGCCCGATGGTGAGTAGGAGCCATCCTTGTTGACCTTTGTTGAGCCCTCTTGCCAGATCTGCATGCGACCAATGTTGTAGTCGGCAAACATTGTGAATGGCTTGCCGCGGACCTGGTAGCCAGCGCCACCCTGCATTGGATCCTGACGAACACACTTGCCATCATCAATCACAGCAGACTTCTTGCAAGTGGAGTAGTAGCTAGAGTTGGTTGGTGCGTAGATTGACATGAAGTTGTTGGACAAAAAGTCAAAGCCTGGCTGTGAGCCAAGCAAACTTCCATTGACGTATGGGTATCCCTCGGGGTAGGCTTCGCCAGCATGCTGTAGAGGTTGAGTGAGTGAGTGAGTATAGTGTATCATTGATGAGGATGCAGGCAACTTACTGGAAGACCAAAGGCATGTCCCATCTCGTGGATGAAGATACCAGAGTAGGATGAGTCGCCAACGCATACACCACCACCGACGGAGCCAAGACCACCACCAGGGCCACTGTAGCGGTTGGGTGCACCTGTTTGGTTCATGGCAACGAGGGGCACGTACATCATGTAGTTGAGTGAGCCATCGCCGTTGGCTGCACGGAGGCCACTGAGAATGCCAAGGATCTCACCCATCATGTCGTAGCCATCCTTGAGCTGAGCGGCTCCCGTCAGCTTGTAGGCTGGGCGTGCACCGTTTGACGAGATGATCATCGATGGGAGGCTCATGATACCAATGTCGTGGTTCTTGATGATGAGCTTGGAGACGGGCCAGGTCTGGTAGATCGAGTCGTAGGTGAACTCGGTCACGTTGCTTGCCTTGCTGTAGGGGATTGAGTTGGTGTCGTTGGCGCCAAACATGTAGAAGGGCAGCAGGTCCAGGATGAACGTTGAGTTCCAGCCGACCAAGGGATAGACAGCATCGGATGTCTTGTTGTTGACGACGATCTTAACGCCTGGCACGACGTACTGTGCAGGGATGTTCAACCAGTATGTGTTCTCGTAGATGGCGGTGCCATTGGACTCGACTGAGGGCAGGGTGCTGGGCGGGTTCAACTGGATCGAGGTGGCGTACTCGACGTGCTCGGTGTTGTTGACGGTCCATGTTGCATTGGGCGTGAAGAAGGCGACGTAGGGTGGGGGTGCGTCAGGGTCGAGCTTCATCTTGATCGGCTTGATCATGAGCATCGTCAGTCTGTTGCCAACGAGATGGAGAGCAGAGTCGGTGCCAGTCAAGTTCCATTTGAGGCCTTGTGCGGGTATGACATGTGTTTGTGCAAACAATGTCTCAAAGTTTGGTTTCTTATTCTCTTCATTATTATCATTCTTTCTCTTTGTCAACACAATAGTTGTTGGAATGACAATGGCTGCGATCACCAACAGCGCGACAACAACCACAACAGCGATGATGATTTTTTTTGAAACCATCTCTTCACTTAATTTTAAAATAAATAATCAAACAAACAGTTATATATTAATATTAATAATAATACAATTTATTGTGTTACAGATAAGATACAGATATTTATATATATAATATAATATTATACTTGTTGTTGGGATGAGATAAAATATGACCTGACGATCGTCGTTGAGAATATATTTATATCTTTTGTGGGATGTCAAGAAAAGTCTGTGATGTTTGAATAACTTAATAATGTTGGATTTCTTTGGAGTCGGAGTTGGCCTTATCTGTTGAGGTAATCAACAAGGCCCTGTTTAAGTGTAATAACGTCAACACTTCTTAGGTCTAAAGACCAAAGATATTTTTTTAATAAGTGTGGTGGCTTTTACGAATTGCGACTTCTCCAGTAAAGATGAATCGTTTTGTCTCGTTTGGTGGGTGTGATGGGTATCCAGGTTGATCAAGTTGATGGGTTGGTTCAGTCTTTACAGAATTGGGGATGGTAACAGAGAATAGATCTAAACAATTAACATGCAAGATGTTGGTATTGTACGTGGTCTTTAAATTTATTGAACAAATACTTAACTGACTGTATTATCTGTAGTCCATTTATTAATGTTTGATTGTTTGTGAAAGATTGAATGTTCTTCTGTTCACACACTTCGACAAGAGTTCATTCAAAACGAGCGAAAGAATGTGAACAACAAACAAATAAATAAATTCGAGCGAGGCGATATACATATAACATAATGAAGATAAAGTTTAACAAAGCCTTGATACCATTGGATATGGTAGTGAGTGAACTTGGTAATGGTGCAATGTACTATTTTAAGGGAGAGCAATTGTTGGATATGCCAAAGGTCAAGGTGAAGGGCATTGGCTCACCACTGTCCTACCCCGTGCCAAAGGCCCAGCTTCAAAAGTTAATCGATCGTTCAACACGCGCACCCTATGGCAAGGGCTCAGAGACAATCACAGACCTCAATGTGCGACGTGTCTGGCAGTTGCAGAGCTCGGACCTCACTATCACAGGCAGACAGTTCACCAAGTTCTTTGATGGCATCATCGAAACCATCAAGGAGACGATGGGTCTGAAGGACGAGGTCGTCCGGGCCGACCTGTACAAGCTGCTCATCTATGAGACCGGTGGCTTCTTCTTGCCACATCGTGACTCGGAGAAGGAGGACAAGATGTTTGGAACACTCGTGTTGTCACTGCCGTGTCCACATCGTGGCGGCGACCTCGTCATCAGCCATTCAGACAAAGAGACAGTCGTGTCATTGGAGAATGACTCAATGTCATCGATCAAATGGACAGCATTCTTTGCTGACTGTCGACATGATGTCAAACCAGTCACTGAAGGCAATCGAGTGTGTCTCGTGTACAACCTGATGAGGTCGGGAGCCAGGAAGATCCCCATCGCAAAAGACATCACTGGACCACTGCTCAGAACAATCAACAAAGCATTTGGTATCGAGTCCAACACTAGAGCCCCTGCCGTCTCTCCAGCAGACATCAACAGCAACAACAATGAGGTTATAGATGTTGATGATGATAGTGAGGTTACAGAAGAGGACGATAGAGACGAGGTCGAGGATGATGATGACGATGCCGATGTCAAGATCACAAAGAAGGCCAAGATATCAACAACATCAACAACTACGACCAGAGTTGCAAGTGACTCATCTGATGATAGTGAGGAGGATGAAGACGAAGACGAGGAGGAAGAGGACGACGACGAAGAAGACGATCCATATACATTCGATAGTGATGGTGGAGAAGTTGTATATTACGAGACAAGCTCAGAGGACGTGTCATGGCGCAAGAAAAAAGCGGTGGAGCCAGTTGGCACACCAGAGAAGATTGTCTTTGCCCTGGATCATGTATACTCCATGGCCAACTTCACATTATCATCACTCAAAGGCAAGGATGCTGCACTGGCTCACTCACTACTAGCCATCTCCGAAGAGGCTAAACTGAAGTTATGTTTGGCATTCATTCATGGTAAAGAGTATGTACATCCACCCATCTCGATCACTCATTGGCTCATTTATTAACTCAATCAATCAATCATGTTACATCACCAATAGAACAGGCAGGTACCAGAGTGAACCATGGCATCCACCAAGTAAAGTAGATATATCACTGATCCAGGTCAGGGACATCTTGACCGACAGCATGATCGAAGATGAGATGGACTTATGGGATGGCGAGGTCTTGCCCCCTGGATGTCTGAGTCGTGTCAAGCCATACAATGTTGAGGCTCAAGAAGCAACAGGTATGTGGTACTCATTCTGGAATCATTCTATTCAAGCAATCAATCAAATACTGACCATCAATCAATCAATCAAACAATAATAGGTAACGAAGGTGGAGAATACAATAGATTCTATAGGAAAGCGGCAATCGTGGCATGGAGCACAATTGGAACTGGTCCATTTTCCATCGTCAAGTCGGTGGATGGATCTTTGAAGATTTTAAAGAGTGAGCTGGTCAAACTTGGAGGCATCGATGCCAACGCTCAGGCATCATTCGATTTGATCACAAGCTTGATGGCCTCGTGGGAGAAAGCCGGAGACGGTGCCGAGTTTGATGATGTACACCTTACCAAAATGCTCAAACTACTGCGGTCCATCAAGGAGGATGATAGATTCGTTCCCAAGATGTTGGAGGATATACTCAAGTTCATGGGCGATTGTTACGACACACAGTCACACGAGGAAGCAATCATGGAGCTGCTGTTCCAATGTCCATCAATGACACCAGAGTTGGTTGTTCGCCTGTTGGGTGTACTCATTGTCCAGGCATCAGTCGATGAGGCTATGACACTTCTCAACAAGTTGGTGACAGAGGCAACAACCAGTCTGAATGATCACCCTTCAAACTTGATCACACTGATACCAACATTGGCAGTCACACTCTGCGACAGACTGGGCAGCACCGTAGAATGTAAAAGATTCTTGGTGTTCATTCAATCAGACATGGCGACAGGTGTGTTGGATGAAGCTCAGCGACAACAACTATTGGACACGACCACAAAGTCTGCTCAAGCATTCCTCAAGAGTGAGGTGATGATCGAGATTGGCATCACTGGCAAGCTTAAGAATGTAATCCATCATCTCAAGGCGGTCAGAGAGAATACGTCGCAGACCTATGTCACACTGGACCTGGTGAGGGAGATGTATGTTTCCGTGATCAATGAGTACGCACTGGAGCCGCACGGTGATTATAGCATCGAAGGACTGTCGCGAATCCAGGCCATCAACATGGAGTACCCTGACTGGGTCACTAGCACAGACTATGACAAGTTGCTCAAGACAATTGTGAACAGCTTAGAGAATATCAAATCGATCAGCAAATTACATTTTCTGTGGAGTGTGGTCCAGGCGCATGCCGATGATGGTGCACTCTTCAACCTGCTGTTGGACAATCTATGCAAGGTCATATGGACTGGCAACACACTTGTTGGCCTCCTCTCACTATTACACAAGGACTACAAAGACTCACCTCTGTATGTCAGGCTGTGGGAGCATGCAGTCAAGGGCTTCATCCAAGGTGGCACCCAATGTACATGTGAGGGCTGCCTCAAGATCACTGTCTTTGTTGAATCCTTGGACATGACGTTGCATCTCAAGGGCACAGATGCCGAGCGCAAGCACTTTGAGATCGAGGCCACCAAGTTCAGTATGAGGTACAGCACAATGCGCGAAGGCAGGCCGCCCTTCACTTTGGTGCTGACCAAGAGGCCAAGTGATCTTATCGTTAATCTGTCACCTCATATCAAGAAGCGCAAGGTGTTTGTTGACATGTGCCACAGCCTACATATACTCTGTCCGTCCAACACTGAGAATGATATACTCAATCGTGTTGTCAACAACACAACACCTCCAGCAACCTATCCCCACACACTATTCAAGACAGTTGCACCATTGGTACTGTTCCCTCCTCCAGTTCCATTGAGGGAGGTTATCAATAACCTCGCAGAAGAAATAGAGATCATCATGGATGGTGGCGGTGGTGTACCGATGGACCACTCAGATGAAGAAGTAGTGGACAATGTAGTAAAGGAAGAGGTGAACATCCCAACAACATCAGTGGCCGTACCAACACGACGATATGTCAAGGTGGAAGAGGGTCACTCAGCCGCGGCTGCCGGAGATGTCAAGGAGGAGGGCGTACCAACAGCAGCAGCAGCTCTAGTGCCCGTACCCAAGTTACACTATGTCAAGGTCGAGGAAGATATTAAAGAGGAGGACGAATAGCTTGTGTCGTTCCAGTTGATCGATATTACCAAATTAGGACTGATCAGTGTGTGTGTGTGAGCGTGGGTGTCGTCTTTTATCAAATATCTCACAGATCTATTATTGTGTTGAGATAGTAATAGATATATAACATGGAGATAACATATAATACCAATCTTAAACCATTACAGGATGCATTGGCGCTATGTGACAAGGGCTCGTTGTTCTGTGTGAAGGGCGAGAAGGAGTTGCCAATGCCAAAGATAGTGGTCAAGGATGTTGGAACGATGTCATTCCCAGTGACACAGGAGCAGGTACAGAAGTTGATTGAACGAGCTACTCGCGCACCATATGGCAAGGGAACAGAGACGATCACAGATCTCAACGTGCGACGTGTCTGGCAGTTACAGAACACAGACATCAGCATCACTGGCAACAAGTTTGACAAGTTCTTCAATGGCGCGATCAATAGTGTCAAGGAGACGATGGGTCTGGCCGGAGAGACAGTGACAGCAGAGTTATACAAGATGCTCGTCTATGACAAGGGTGGCTTCTTCTTGCCACATCGCGACTCTGAGAAGGTGGTCAAGATGTTTGGAACACTCGTGCTCTCGCTGCCTTGCTCGCATCGTGGAGGCGACCTCGTCATCACGCACTCGGGCAAGCAAGTGGTGGTGTCATTGGAGAACGACACAGTATCATCGATCAAATGGACAGCATTCTTTGCTGACTGTCGACATGAAGTCAAGCCCGTCACTGAAGGCAATCGAGTGTGTCTCGTATACAACCTCATGCGATCAGGTGGACACAAGCTCATGCTCAGCTCAGACTCAGGCGAGCTCATTACCAACGCACTCAACAAGGTGTTCTGTGTACAGACCAAGAGAAAGAAGAACAACGCACAGAAGCCATTGGTCATCGATGATGAAGATGACGAGGAAGACGAGAATGATGACGATGAGGACGACGAAAATGATGCCAAGGTACTCAAGAAGTCAAGGACATCAACAACGACAACAACTACTACCAAGACAGCTGCATTAAATTCGGATGACGAGGATGACGAAGATGACGAGGATGACGAATCGGATGATAGCGATGACTATCATCACAATGTTGTTGGTAACAATGACAAACCAGAGAGGATAGTCTATGTACTCGAGCATGTCTACTCAATGGCCAACTTCACTATGGCATCACTCAAAGGCAAGGATGCAGCACTGGCACGAGCACTATTGGCCATTTCCAAACAAGCCAATATCAGACTGGGCTTGGGATTCATAGATTGCATGGAGTATGTATGATTGAGCGAACGAGTGAGTGATTGGGCAACACTAGTTAACAATCATACAATGACAACAAGGTCTGGAGGATACTATCATGAACGTGGTCAATCACCTGAATATCTAGACATTGATGACACAGAGATGTCATTGAGGGATGTCAAGGATATCGAGACAGGAGAGTTAATCGATGACTATTTGGAAGTGAATGAGGAGCAGCTCATGCCCGACGGATGTTTGGATGACATCAAACCCTACAAAGAGGAGGCTGAGGAGGCGACAGGTATGTACTATCATGACCCCAGCAATCAATCAATCAATCAATCAATCATCACTTACTCACTCACTCATTCAAACAGGTAATGAAGGTGGAACATACGAGAAGTTCTACAGACAGTCAGCCATCGTGATTTGGAGCACTGGTAACATGGGCAAGTTCTATAATGTCAAGACAGTGAAGGGTGCTTTGATCACAATGAATAAGGAGCTGACCGGAATTGGTGGAATCGATAAAGACTCTTTGGCAACACTTGGTCTGTTCAAGAAAATGACAAAGTGCCTCCACAGTGTTCCAGACAAGATCTCCAGCGACCTCATTCCAATGCTCTCACTCTTGCTCTCAATCAAGAAAGATCAATACCTTCCCAAAATCATCACAATGATGCTTCGAACATTTGGTCCCGTATTCATTCCAAACTTGCATCAAGACGCATTCCTTGAGCTGATCCTGACGCGACCATCCATGACACCGACAACAGTACTCCAAACAATGTATCAACTTGTCAAGCATGTCCCAGTAGAGTCGGCAATTGGAGTGATGATCAAGGTGATGGACATGTCCAACCCTCCCGCGCACTTTGCCACATTGCTGCCGCAGGTGATGGATCTCATCGCGGGTGGACTACGAACAACGCCACAATGCAATCACCTGACACATCGAATTAATAACTATCCAGTGTTTGAACAACAACGTCAATCACTGTTGGACAAGGTGTCGAGGAGTGCCGACGCCATCAACAAAAAGTTGTCCAGTGGTAATGTTGTACCTCCATCAATGCCCTACACCTTTTCATCCAGTGGTCGATACAAGCAGCAAGCCTTCAAGACTCCTCCAAGTACACGTCTCAAGCAACAAGCTTTCAAGAACCCACCAAGGTCACATGACGTCGAGATCATTGACTTGGACGATTAATAAATTAGAAAGGAAGGGTAATGTAATTGGATGTATTAATAAAAATAACACAGAGAATGATCACATGACCAGTACCATATTTGGACAAAACGAAGTTCATCGTTCGTTTTTTGTAATCACACCCCACTCTTAGATGATCAAGTTAGATATTAGAATGGATTGTTTCCAGCGAGTTCATAACACATGTTCACTTACACTTAAGTCAACGATATGTAGCATAACATATACAATTCAACCAATCTATCAATGAAGTTACAGTTCAATACTAAATTGCAACCATTACAGGATGCTTTGGCAAAGTGCGACAAGGGCGCACTTTTCTGTGTGAAGGGCCAGAGTGAGTTGGCAATGCCAAGGATCGAGGTCAGTGATGTTGGTGTACTGTCATTCCCAGTGACACAGGATCAGTTAAAGAAGATGGTGGAACGTGCCACACGTGCACCATATGGCAAGGGAACAGAGACGATCACAGACCTCAATGTGAGACGTGTCTGGCAGATACAGAACGCAGACATCAACATCAGTGGTGAGCAGTTCAACGTGTTCTTCAATGCTGCCATCAAACACATCAAGGATACGATGGGTCTGGCTGGCGAGACAGTGACAGCAGAGTTGTACAAGATGCTCATATATGACAAGGGAGGCTTCTTCTTGCCACATCGTGACTCTGAGAAGGCTGCCAACATGTTTGGAACACTCGTGCTCTCACTGCCATGCTCACATCGTGGCGGTGACTTGTTCATTGCTCACTCGGGCAAGCAGGTGGTGGTGTCATTGGAGAACGACACTGTGTCATCGATCAAATGGACAGCATTCTTTGCTGACTGTCGACACGAGGTCAAACCCGTCACCGAAGGCAACCGAGTGTGTCTCGTTTACAACCTCATGCGATCAGGTGGTCACAAGCTCATACTCAGCTCAGACTCTGGCGAGCTCATAACCAATGAGTTCAACAAGTTGTTCTGTGTCAGAAAGGCTAAGAAGGTGTACAGGCCAAAGGTTGTTGATGATGAGGATGATGATGATGATGCAGTGGCCGCCAGAAAGGTCCATGATGACGATGAAGATGATGATGAGGATGCCAAGGTGCTCAAGAAGGCCAAGACTTCACCGACAACTACAACATCAACCAAGATTGAAGGTGACAAAGAGAATGACGACGATGGCGATGATGATGATAATGATGAGGATATTGATGCCGAGTTCAACTTGGAAGGAGCCAAGGATAGAATGGAAAAGATTGTTTATACATTGCAACATGTGTACTCGATGGCCAACTTCACATTGGAATCACTCAAGGGCAACGATGCTGTACTGGCTCGAGCACTATTGGCCATATCCGACAAGGCCCAAATCAAGATTGGCCTAGCATTCATTCACCTCAAGGAGTAAGTGTGCGAACCATAGGGTCATGAGTCCATCAACATTCAAGTGTCTAACCATTATCGAACCAAAACAGAGAAGGAGGATACTCGAATGAGTATGGAGGTCCTGAATACTATAATCCAGAGGCAGAGTTGACGTTGGAGTATGTCAAGGACATCGAGACTGATGAAGACATGGATTTGGATGAAGATATGACAGTGGAGGAATCAGAGATCTTGCCCAAAGGCAGATTGGATAACATCAAGCCATACGAAGAGGAGGCCGAGGAGGCAACAGGTACGACCTATATCAATCAATCACTCATGGACTGGAAATATCCCAATCACTCACTCACTCAATCACTTATACTCAATCAATCAATCAATCAATCATATAGGCAACGAAGGTGGAACATACGAGAAGTTATACAGACATTCTGCTTTGGTGATATGGAGTACGGCGTATACCGGCGTGTTTACGATGGTGGAGAACCCTGATGTTGTATTCCAAATGTGGGATGACGAGTTGGAGGAGATGGGTGGCATCGATGCCAACCCAAGGGCGACACTGGAGCTGTTCTTCAATATGCTCGTATGCCTCAACAAGTTACAGAAGAGCCCTCAACAACTCGAGTCAATCTTAGCAATTCTGGGCGAGAACTCATCAAATCGCTACTTGCCCAAGCTCATCTCTTTGGCGATTCAGTCATATGGGCCACAGTTTTCTGGGAGATTGCATGGGGATATCTTGATCGAGATACTACTTGATCCATCGCTGCGATCCATGACGCCCGACACAGTCTCCAAAACAATCACTCTACTCTTGCGATACGCGCCACCTGGTGGAGTGGTCGACTTGTGGTGCAAGATGTTGGAGGTCCCCAACCCACCGGAACACCTGTCCACTCTACAGTTGCATATGGTACATCAGCTCAAGGACAAAATATTCATCTTGGAGCAATGCGACAAACTCATCCAGGCACTCAACACACACGCCATGTTTGCACAAGAACGCCAAAAACTTGTGGACATGACCTGTGCCAAGGCAACTGCCATCATGAACATTGAGATGGCCAAAGGCACCTTCCCATCATCGCTCAAGGAGATTGAGCGATTGCTCGGATTGGTCGCCACAGGTGTCGCACCAAGCTATGTGTCGCTGCCCCGGTTGAAGGAGCTGTTCAAGATGGTCGTCCAAGGGTCTCCTCCAGATCTTCACATTATGATTATGCGGACACCCTATTTGATGGCCTCCCCACGATGGAGCGTATCGTCACAGTTTATCCAGACTGGGTAGCACAGGACACTGGATACAGGACTTTTCTCACAAAGTTGTTTGACCCAAATTCATATTATTCCTATCGTCGCAATGACAATCACAATGTCAACATCATGAATTTGGTATGGAGGGCTGTACACGCCGAGGGCACACTCATGGAGCAACTGTTTGGCGTACTCGCCAAAGTCACATGGAAGCCGGTCGCGCACATCATGCTACTCGCACTGCTTCGCAACGCATTTGTGACCTCGCCACACTACTTCCGATATTGGGACATGGTGACGAGCAACAACCTGGCAGTGGCATCCATCCCCCCGCCCACGGGCAACATGTTGGGCGGCGCTGTGACATGCTCCTGCAAGCTATGCAAGAAGTTTGTCAAGTTCATACGCTCGCAAGATCTCAGCAGGAAGTTCATGGGCACGGAGACTGAACGAACCCATCTGATGAACTACAAGGCCGAGTTTGGTCTACAATATAAAAACACTGGCAAAGGTGATGTAAGGACATTGGAGCTGAGGAAGACTATGAATGACAAAGCTTACACTGATCAGAAGAAGGCACAAGATGAGCATGCCTTGGCCTGCAATCTCTGCCACAGTCTACTTCACCTCCGACCTCAACCGGACAACGTCAACGACACCATCAACTTGCTCAACAGCGTTGTCCTGTCGACACCTCCACCAGCAGTATATCCTCACACCACAGTCCAAGTCACCACTCCCATCACCAGCATGAACATAGGAGGTGGCGCTGGTGCTGGGGTTGGCGTGGCCCATGCGCCAGCCGTTGCGCCAGTCGCTCCAGCTGTTGGTGTGCCGCCACAAGCCCGGCCTCCTGTAGCACAAAAGCATATAGAGATCATTAATTTGGACGACGATTAGATATTATATTATTAAATTATTATTTTATTAATCTGGTAGACATTACTAAATATGGAGATGAAGATGAAGTTCATCAAAAAAAGACTCGCTTTTTGATTATCATAAAGTTCTAACCCCACTCAGATATTTTGATGACCTAGTTAGTCCTTGGTCCTGCATAAACATACATTAACAAAACACATGTACACAACACAACATAGAGATATTGGTAGATATAAGTTACAACGAGCTGCTTGATGTCTTGGAGGATGCTCTGGAGACTCGTGACTGAGGCACTCAGTTCTGTGTGCAGGGCGAGACAGAGTTGCCAATGCCAAAGATAGTGGTCAATGAGGCAGGCACATTATCATATCCAGTGACACCAGAACAGGTACAGAAATTGGTTGAACGTGCCACACGTGCACCATATGGCAAGGGAACAGAGACCATCACAGACCTCAATGTGAGACGTGTCTGGCAGATACAGAACACAGACATCAGCATCACTGGCAACAAGTTTACCGAGTTCTTCAATGGTGTGATCAACAGCATCAAGGAGTCGATGGGTCTGGCCGACGAGACAGTAACAGCAGAGTTATACAAGATGCTCATATATGACAAGGGAGGCTTCTTCTTGCCACATCGTGACTCTGAGAAGGCCGTCAAGATGTTTGGAACACTCGTGCTCTCACTGCCATGCTCACATCGTGGCGGTGACTTGGTCATTGCTCACTCGGGCAAGGAGATGATCGTGTCGTTGGAGAATGACTCGATATCATCGATCAAATGGACAGCATTCTTTGCTGACTGTCGACATGAAGTCAAGCCAGTCACCGAAGGCAACCGAGTGTGTCTCGTATACAACCTCATGCGATCAGGTGCTCGCAAGCTCGTTCCAACTCCAAACTCAGACGGTCGCGTCGTCGATGCTCTCAACAAGGTGTTCTGTATCAAGGTCAAGAATGAGGATGATGAAGGTGACGATGATGCCAAGGTGCTCAAGAAGTCAAAGACATCGACCACAACTACAACATCAACCAAGGTGGATGATGATGACAATGATGATTACCCAGAGAAGATAGCTTATTGCTTGGAACACGTATACTCGATGGCCAACTGCACATTAGAGTCGCTCAAGGGTAACGACGCATCCCTTGCGCGAACATTATTGTCCATTGCCGATAAGGCCCAGATCAAGCTAGGCTTCGCATTCATTCATTGCACAGAGTAAGTGTACCACGTGGACCAATGGAGATGGCCATCGATGGCGGACACTAACACAAACTCTTCCTCTTAGGTCTGGACCATATGAAGGAGGATACTATGGTGAGCAATACGGTGATGTAGAGGATAAGAGTCTTACGTTGACCGAGGTCAAGGACATGCTCACTGGTGAATATCTAAGCAATGAAATGGAATTGGACGATGCTGAGCTCATGCCCAATGGATGTATGGAGGACGTCGACCCCTACGATGAGGAGGCCGAGGAGGCAACAGGTATGTTATAATAATTCAATCAATCAATCATTGCTACATGGAACTATTCCAATCTCACTCATTTGATCAATCAATCAATCAATCAAACAGGCAATGAAGGTGGATCATTTGAGAAGTTCTATAGACAATCAGCCATTGTGATATGGAGTACTGCACGTACGGGCGTGTTCACAATGGTCGCCTCTCTACAGTCAGCTTTGAACATCTTTAAAAGGGAGGTGAAAAAGCTTGGCGGAATTGATGTCAATCCACAGGCAACACTTGATCAGTTCACCAAGATGATGGAGTCGCTGTTCAGACTGAGAGCCAAATATCCTGACGATCTCACCTTGGTACTCACACTGCTGGCCACGATCAAAGACGATCGGTTCATGCACAAGCTCTTGAAGCAGATCTTGCAGAGATATTGTGAATACTTCACTTTGAACCTCCACCAGGACCTCTTGCTCTCACTCCTTCGGCGTCCATCAATGACGCCCGAGGCAGCAACCGAATTAGTCAAGCTTGCCCTTCACCATTCTACATTCGAGACGTCCATGGCCATGTTACTCGCCATGCTGGCTGTGCCCAACCCTCCCGCCAACAACGCCACAATGCTACCCGCGATAGTCCAGCTGACCTCTGGCAAACTCAAGACGATGCCACAATGTGATCAACTCAGGGAGTGCATCACAAAGCATGCCGTGTTTGAACAACAGCGTACAGCACTCATGGCCCCAATTGATGCGATGGTGTTCAAGGTCTGGCAACAATCACTCGATGTGATGACCTTCACCCAGAAGATCCAGGAGATTGATCGACTGCTTGTGAGCCTGGCCACAGGAGCCACTCTCCCCAACTACATGTCCATCGCCAATCTGAAGACCACGTTCACGTCGTCAATCCTAAAGAGCTCCACTGTACACTCCTACTATACAAACAATGTCTGGTCGACCATCTTGCCCGCACTCCCGATTCTGGAGCGCATCAAGGCGGCCCAACCAGAATGGATTACACAGGACCCCAACTACAGCAAGATGCTATCAATGCTGTTGAAGTATCAACCGAATTATTTCGACGACAATACGAATGCCAACAACTTGAACATGATATGGCGAGCACTTCACTCGGATGGCACCGGACCACACATGCCAGGGCTCATCAGTATGATCACCCAGGCCAACTTCATATCGGCTAGCGCTCACATCATGCTGCTTGCTCCACATCGCGTTTATCGACTCGCCCCACTACTCCTTGTACTGGGACTACGTCGCGCGCATCAACATTGCGACGGCCTCAGTCCCGCCTCCCACGGGCCACGAGATACGAGCCAACATTTCATGCCCATGTGCCAACTGCCAGCAGTTCTCTCAGTTCTGTCGCTCACCAGTTATCACAATGTGTATACACTCAGAGCCAAGGAGACTGATCGACGTCATATCCTACAGCTTGTGAATCAGTATCGAAATGTCTTGAGTTATACTACCTCGACAACAGGCACACCCAGGACATTGGAAGTGAGAAAGATTACATCCGCCATCACACACCAGGCCGAGAGGGAGAAGCACACTACAGCCTGCAACAACTGTCACAGCATACTACAACTCAGACCACCTGGCAGGTTCAGCGACGCCCTCACTGGCGTTGTGGCGAACACTCCAGCTCCAATAGTATATCCTCACACCAGAGTCCAGCCCACCACTACCATCACCAAGATCAATGCTACGGTCGCAGCCCCACAAGCCCCACAAGCACAACAAGCACAAGGACAGCCAGCAGCCCCACAAGCACCACAAGCACAAGGACAACCAGCACCAGTCCCAAAGCAAGAGGTCATCAACGTGGATTAGATTATTATTATTATTATTATTAATACCAAATTAGGATTCCAATGGCTGGTCACCATCTAGTGGTCCATCTGGTGTACGTGTGTGAGTGTGGTTGAGTCCTCAGGACCTGAGGACCGCAATCAATCAAGGCTTAACTGGCTCTTGTCCTTCATTCATATTCCAACCATTATCAAGCAGACATATACACATAGAACATTATCACAAATATTAACAAGAGGATGAAGATAAGATATAATCCAGAGTTGGGAGTGTTGGAGAAGGCGTTGGCGGATTGTAAGAAGGGTGCGATGTTCTTGTGCAAGGGTGAGACTGAGTTGCCAATGCCAAGGATCGAGGTGAAGGATGTTGGTGTGCTCTCATACCCAGTGAGACAGGATCAGTTGCAAAGTATGATTGAACGAGCCACTCGTGCACCATTTGGCAAAGGAACAGAGACAATCACAGACCTCAATGTGAGACGTGTCTGGCAGATACAGAACACAGACATCAACATCACTGGCATTGCATTCGAATCATTCTTCACAAGCATCACCAACAGCATCAAGGAGTCGATGGGTCTGACCAACGAAGTGGTGACAGCCGAGTTGTACAAGTTGTTGGTCTATGACAAAGGCAGCTTCTTCCTGCCACATCGTGACTCTGAGAAGGCTGACAACATGTTTGGAACACTCGTGTTGTCATTGCCATGTCCACATCGAGGTGGTGACCTTGTTGTCAATCATTCAGGTCGTGATGAAGTGGTATCATTGGAGAATGACTCAATGTCAACGATCAAATGGACAGCATTCTTTGCTGACTGTCAACATGAAGTCAAGCCAGTCACTGAAGGCAATCGAGTATGTCTCGTTTACAACCTGTTGAGATCAGGTGGTACCAATGTGGACATCAACATCTCATCCGAGCCCATCACTCAAGCATTCAATCAAGTGTTTGGTCTAGTCTCCAACAAGGCAGATGAAGATATGGAGGAGGGATCATCCGGCTCCAAGAGTGACAATGAAGATGAAGAAGACGACGATGACAACAACAACAACAATGATAACAAGATCATCAAGATGGCCAAGACATCACCAAAAACAAACAAGACAACAAAGTATGATTTTGGAGATGATGATGATGAGTCACATTCGTCAGCAGACAATGAATACCGCGATGAGTTTAATGAAGAGTATGAAGAAGAGGAATACTATGAAGATATGGACAAGGATGAAGGTGAGGGTAAATATATTCCCGAGAAGATAATATATTCCCTGGAGCATGTCTACTCGCTATCCAACTTCAGAATTGAGTCACTCAAAGGTGGTGATGCGACCCTGGCACGCACCCTACTCGCCTTCTCCAATGAGTCCCGTATCAGACTGGCCCTATCATTCATTCACATCACTGAGTAAGTATCCACCAATGAATCAATCATTCAATCATACTAATAGATAACATTATACAATAGAAAGGGAGGTGGGGAATGTATGGTTGATCCAAAAGATACAGTAGTCGTACTGAAGGATGTGAAGGACCTTGAGACTGGAACTATCCTGGAGGAGAAGATGAAGTTCAGTACAAAGGAGATCCTGCCCGATGGATGTCTAAAGAGTATCAAGCCATACTCTTTGGAGGCACAAGAGGCAACTGGTATGTACAAGCAAACAATCAATCAATCAATCAAGGAATATGCTCTAACTCTTAAACAAATGGACAGGCAATGAAGGTGTGTCATTTGATAAATTATATAGACAATCAGCTATTGTGATATGGAGCACTGTGGAGATGGGCAAGTTCACTATGATCAGCTCAATGGATGTTGCGTTGGAGATGTTGGAGAAGGAGTTGACCAAGCTTGGTGGCATAGATGCCAACCCTTTGGCAACTCAACAACTGTTCAATCAATTGTTCAAAGCGATGTACAGACTCAAGCCAACTCCACAAAATGTAACCAGGTTACTCAATGTTCTCCGATCGATCAAGCCTGGCCATGACCAGCACCTCCCCATGCTACTCCAAACCATGTTGCAGACTGTTGGTGGCCAGATTCAAACAGACCTACATCAGGATGCCCTCGTGGAGATGATTCTCCAACGACCAACAATGACCCATGAGTCAATCGAGAGAGTGATGTCTCAGTTTGTGTCATCTGCCCCACAGAGTGCTGTCATGGACATGTTTTCCAAGTTGTTGGTATTGTCCGAGCCGTCCACTGCCACAGTGTTACCCATGTTTGCCGATCAAATCATTCCAAGGCTGACCAAAACAGATCAATGTGACCAACTGATTGATATCATCACATCTCATCAAGTGTTCAAAGAACAAAGACAGCACCTATTGGACAGGATCATTGTTGTGGCGAGGGCGATGTTCAGACCAAAGTTGAACAGAACGAGGTACATGCAAGGCAATGATCGAGACTCCACCTTCCACACGACCATCTCAATGATCGATCATTTCTCCACGGCACTCAACAATGGCAAGGCGCCAATCTACTTCACGGACGCATTCCTGGGCGAGACATATCGCAAAGCGATCAAAGTATTGATCCAAACAAACCAAGGCTACCTTAATTTTAATATTGTCCTGCCTGCCTTTCAGATCATGGAGCGCATCACTGCCGCCCATCCAGAATGGATCGCCGGTGACCAGAAATACATTGAGCTCCTCAAGAAGCTGAGCGTGTTCCGGTCAAACTTCCATTCACACAAACACAACCAGATTGCCAACCAACTGTTTGTGATCTGGAAGGCACTCCACAATCAGGAGGCCATCATCAATGACTTCCTCGGCCATCTCTGCTCCAAGCCACATCAGACATTTGGTATTGGTAACGTGGTATGGACTGGATACCCACATCAATCACTCTTATTATTGCTTGGACTGTTGCATGAACACTACTCCAACTCGCCACAATATTCCAAGTTATGGGAACATGTTGCCAAGTTGAACTTAGAGAAGTCCACGACCAAACCAGACCCCAATGACAAGTCGATGGATGTGGAGATTCATTGTGAATGTGAACAATGTGGCAAGATCAAGGTGTTCCTCCAATCACAGGATGAGGTGCTGGACTTGCCAATCCATTATTATCGTCGTGAACATGTTGAAACAAATATCGGCCAACTCAAACTGGATCAAAAGAAGGAGAGAGACACCAACAATCGTGAGATGTGGAACATGGTATTGACCAAAACAGATGAGAACAAACATGCCAAGATGAACAAGTATGTTGAGGTGGTCAACAACTGTCACAGTCTGTCAAAGATCAGGCCAACAACCACCCCGTCCAGCGTCATCGAGGTTGTCCAGAAGCTTGACGCAGTTGTCGCCGCAACACCCGAACCACAAAAGTACCCTCATCTCAAAGCCAAAGTGAAGACCATCCCTCTTGGTCCCAAAGAACTAGTACACTACTGATTTGGGCCGTTGAGTGAGTGGACCTTGTTTGTTTGATCACATAAAGTATTTCCCGTGGGTAGCCAGCTTCACCTGTTCGAGACCCTTGGCGTAGCAGTTAGTTATTATTTTGATTTTTGCGAATTAAGTGTGTGAGGGTATGTCTGTGAGGGTATGTCTGTGAGGGTACGTCTGTGAGGGTATGATGTCTCTTATGTGTATCTATGATTGTTATTTATTGGTTATGTTATATTGTAATGTCATCACTCTGAGAAAGAGAGTTTAGATAGGACTTGCGTGCATCCTCTGGCCTA